ATCGTATTTTTAACCATATCTCAATTTTTTTCAAATGGAACGAGGGTGGCTCGTTAGCATATTTGGAAAAAGTATTTTTTTACGAAGAATTTGATACCACGCTTGGTATTTTGAGTCAAATTGTCGTTATGAACCGCATGTTACAATTTCAAATAAACCATATGCGAAAATGTCAAAAGTTGACATGTGATCGATACGTCATTCTATCCAGAGTGCCATTTTCTATCAAATAAAGTAAAAAAATACCGAGGGTGCCATTTGAAAATTAAAAGTTGTAGTCATTTCCGGTTAAACAGAGAGTGATCGAAAACAATTGGATATATCAATCAATCCTAGTTTATGTCATATTTTCGAATTTAGAATTATAAGAGCAAAAGTAATCTTCATACCCAAAATAGGCAAAACTGACTGGACAAATCCCAAGTCATTTAGGCCTATTAGTCTCACATCGTTCATACTAAAAACGCTGGAGAAAGTAGTTGACAACCATATTGGAGAAAATCATCTAAAGGTTAAACCACTGCATGATAGTCAGCATGCATATAGAACGGGCAGATCCACAGAAACTGCTCTGTACCAATTAACGGAGCTAATACAGACAAGTCTGGATAGCAAAGAAACAGCAATTTGTGCCTTCTTGGATATTGCGGGGGCGTTTGACAATATACCACATAAGGTGGTCAGGCGATCTCTAGAAACAAGAGGGGTGAACAGAACTATTATTCGCTGGTTTTGGGAAATGCTGTCAACACGAACAGCAGAGGCTCAGATGGGCACCAAAACTGTAGCTGTTAAAACAACGCAAGGAACTCCACAAGGTGGAGTAACCTCCCCTTTGCTGTGGAGCTTGGTGGTGGATGAACTACTAGATGAATTAACTCTAGCGGGAATACACTGCATTGGGTATGCAGATGACATAGTCATGATCGCTCGGGGGAAACATGAAGGCACCTTGTGTGATATTATCCAAAGAGGACTCCGTATCACTGAGAGATGGTGTAGGACTGTCGGGCTGAGTATCAACTCAGACAAAACCGCGATAGTGCCATTCACCAGAAGGCGAAGTCTGAAAAACTTGAAAAGAATCCAACTAGATGGAAAGGAAATACTGCCAACACAGGAAGTTAAATACCTGGGAATAACCCTGGACAGTAAACTCCTGTGGAACAGGCATATTAAGAACACTACCAGCAAAGCCATAAAGGCTCTCATGATATGCAGAAGACTGGCCGGAAATAGATGAGGCTGTCCCCTAACATTTTGCGCTGGATGTATACCATGATAGTAAGACCCATGATTACTTATGGAGCAGTTGCCTGGTACACATAACTAGAGCAACGGACGGCAAGGCTAAACCTATGCAAAGTCCAGAGACTAGCATGTGTTTGCATCACAGGAGCCATGAGAACCTGTCCAACAGCAGCAATGGAGATCATTCTAAATCTAACACCACTGCACATTGTCATTGGTAGATATGCCAATGCGACAATGATTAGAATGGTCACTAACGGAATTAGTACTGGGAGAATTGTCAGATCAGGGGCTTGGAACACCCTCAAAAAGAAAATACCACTCCTGCAACTCCCAGTGGACGATATGCCAAGAACGTACAACTTTGACAAACATGTCAATGTAGTATTGAGCAATAAGAAGGATTGGAAGAGCGAAACGCTTGCCCAGCAGTTAAAACACCATACCATAACTTGGTATACTGATGCTTCCAAAACCAATACGGAAACAGGGATCGGAGTGTTTGGCCCCAGAGCTAATTACTCCGAACCAATGGGCACTTACCCTAGTATCCTACAGGCAGAAATCTACGCTATCGAGAGATGCGTACAACTTATCTTAGATAGGAACTATCGGAAACAAGAAATAGCCATCTTATCTGATAGTCAAGCAGCGTTAAAGGCGATCAACTCAGTATCAATCAATTCGAAATTGGTCAAAGAATGCATAGAGAAGCTGAATAAATTAGGCAAAGAAAACAAAGTCCTCCTACACTGGGTGCCTGCTCACCAAGGGATAGAAGGCAATGAAAAAGCAAATAATCTAGCTAGGAAAGCAGCGAACACTCCACTAACTGAACCAGAACCGTTCTGCTTTCCAAGTGGTAACCAACTCAAGGCGGAACTCAAGAACTTGGAAGATTCCATCCGCAACCTGGAATGGAAATTTTCCAATGGTCTAAGACACTCGAAGAAGTTTCTGAGGGCTTATGATGAAGAAAAATCACAGATCTTCCTGGGTCTGAGTAAGAACAATCTTCGGATTGTCACGGGGTTTTTAACAGGACACTGTCTCCTCAACGAACACCTCAGTAGATTGAAACTAAGAAGAAACGGCGAATGCAGATTCTGTGGGGAAGATGGGGAAACACCAGTACACCTCATCACTGAGTGCGCCGAGATGACAACCATTCGTGCCATGAATTTTGGTACGACTGATATTGGAGATAGAGAACTACCCTCTATAAAACCGTCCCAGATACTGGCTTTTGTCAAAGCCCTGGGACTGTATGATGAGTTATGATTCAAGAAAGGGGGACACAATGGATCTGTAAGGTCGAAGTGATTAACACCCCTCCCACTCATTCTAAATTCTAGTTTATGTTATATAGTAACATACCAAATCTCGTTTTTTTTATCTGAAAAAATAAAAAAGTTATAATAAAATTGTCCCTGTAGTATATTCTACATTTTTTGTCTCTTGGGGAAGTCTTGTGTTCGTCTTCGGCTGAGGTAAACGTGAGATGGAGGTTGGAGGGTCTGTCCTCATTTTAATAAATAAATAAATAATAACTTTATTGTCTGACAGGATTATAGGATCCCAATTAGTAGACAATTATAAATAATAAACGATTCATAGAAATTAGTTTAAACAAAAAAAAAATCGAGAAAAATAAAGAAAAATTTGCTTGAACAAATTACCAATATATTAAAAAAACGCCTAAAACCAGATGATCGAATCTTGTAATAGGTGGTGGCAGCAGTTTAACTAAGGAGCTGTATCGCCCACTGCATCAATGGAGGCGCTTCTGGACCTTCCGCCTCTTCACATAGTGATCCAGGCGGAGGCAAGAATGGGACTCTATCGACAACAAAGTGGCTTGTCTCTGGGAAACAGGACAGAAACAGGACACTCAAAGATGGGAAATCCTATCGGGGGACCTCTACTCCAAATGAGATCGGACCAGATGACCCCTCTTTATCACTACCACAAAACATTCGAGGTGAACAAAATGGATCAAGGAATGTGGACAGATATAACATTCCTTCAGGATGGACTAACCTGGTATACAGACGGGTCAAAGACCGCTGAAGGAACAGGAGCTAGAGTATTTGGGGAAAGACCAAGGGTAAGTTTATCCTTTTCATTGGGTAAACACTCAACCGTATTCTAGACAGAAATCTTCGCCATTCTACAATGTGCGAGAGAAAACAATAGAAGAGCTTATTCAGATAAGCTCATCAATATATGCTCAGACAGTCAGGCGGCACTTGGGGCGCTTATGAGCCCAAAGGTATCGTCGAGACTCGTCTGGGAATACCTAGGTGAACTGGAAACTCTGGGTCGACGGAACAGAATTAAATTATTCTGGGTGCCGGGCCACAGCGGCATCCAAGGCAACGAAAAAGCCGATGAGCTAGGTAGGCAAGGATCATCGGCATCCTATCTTGGTCCAGAGCCAGTACTGGGAATACCCAAATGTATGGCCCGTAGTGCATTAAAACTCTGGATCAGGGAAAAGCAGAATGTCCACTGGAGAAACAGACAGAGGCACAGGCACAGCAAGGCTTTTATCCAAGGACCTAGCTCCAAAACCGCAAAAGAACTGCTAATGCTTAGCAGGAATAAATTGCCGGATTACAACAGGCCTCTTGACAGGACATATGGCTGTCAAGTGTTACCTGAACAAGCTCAATCTGTATCAAGGAAGTCTTTGCTGCAGACTCTGCGATAAAGATCGTGAAACAGCGGAGCACATAATATGTCACTGCGAGGCTCTGATCGCAAGCGACACTTTTATTTGGGAAAGCTAGGCTAGAACCGGAGGAACTATGCTCCCATCCTATCAAGGACCTGCATAAGTTAGTGCAGGGCACAGGGATAGGAGAATGGGTGCAGATATAGAAAGGGGACAAACACAATAGGCCTCACAGGTCGCAGTGTTTCCGGCAGAGGACGGCCCCTTATTGTGGAAAAAAAAGGAGCTGTATAGATCTCACCTTGATCTCACTCACATAGATTCTCCACCTCTTTAACTAAGTCTCCTTAGACCTGATACCGGAGTTGTCCCGTCCTCTTTTTCTATTGTCTCCTTGGATTTGAGGTCAATTCCTATTGTGAGGACCTGACCATAGCCCATTTTAAGGTGTTCATTTTTCGTGCTGGTAACAAGAGTCTATAACTCGTATTTTATAGAACATTTAAAAAACACATAAACTTTTAGACGTCACTGTTCAATAAAAATACGTTTCTAAACGTATTAACTTAGTCTCAGAAATCGGAATCTTAAATTACTGTTCTCCATAATATGGATTTTCCAATTACACCATTGAAACACATATTATTGTCGTACATACACGCTTAAAATAGCAGGAAATATCTTAATATTTTATGTTATTCAGTACTATTGGTTCAAGGTCGGATTAAATCATATTTTATTTGTTTCATAACAATAAAAACACATTTCAAGCACCGAAAAACAATATTTATTTGTAATTTCTGTAAACATTAAATATGTACATTTATCTCTATTTAAATTTGGCAGTGATTTCAATTTAATGTAACAAATATTGTACAAAAACATCATTTAAAATAGTTCAATAAACATACAGGGTGTTAGTAAAAAGTGGCTCACCCCTATAACTTTTTATTTTCTCAGATAATAAAACGTGATTTGGTATGGTAGTATATGACATAAATCAGGATTGATTGACGTATTCAATTAATGTGGGTCACTTCCTGTTTCACCGGAAATGACTACAACTTTTGATTTTTAAATGATACTCTCGGTATTTTTTATTTAATTTCATAGAAAATGACATTCTGAACAGAACGAATATTATTTTTTCTAAAAAAATACTTCTCCAAAGCTCCTTATTATACTACCAAATCTCGTTTTTCTATTAAAAAATAAAAAAGTTATAGAGGTGAACCACTTTTGTAAAACACCCGGTACATGAATTTTATTTAAATAGCACTGGATAAAGTACCTTGTGACCGAAAAAAACGGCGTCCAGTTGGCTTGGAAATGACGATCGATGACATTCCCCATATAATTATACATATAAAATGACAACGATCTTCATTTCATTGCCATCGCTGACGCTGCTTTTTTTATCAAATTGTACTTGAGAAAAAAAGCAAATACAAATCTATAGTGTGAAAATGAAAATAGTTAATTTTCATTAAGAACCAAATTCGAAAGGAATAAAAAAAAACATTAAATAACAAATTGTATAAAAAATAATGTTCTTAACTACAATTGAGCGTATTCGTCATATTCATACAGTACTACGTATCTTCCTACTCTTGAACTAACTGGTATGTTACAATGGAAAAATTGTTTAATCTTTTTGTACCTGTAAAACACATAAAAATCATATACTAGGTCTGGTCACTTCACCTGCGTGGTCTGTATTTTAACGCATGCGATAGAGATAAATATAAATGACCGGTTGACAGACAGAGAAACAAAATAAAAAGCGGCATACAGTGTTGCCGGTTTTTACGTATGTAGGAAAATGTGCGTAGAAAAAAATAAACAGTTATTTTAAAAACTTTCATTTGTACTACTGAAATGAAGATAATATATCTAAGTTAAATATTTATGATGTACTAGCGTGTACCTACGACTTCGTTCGCGTCGAATTAATCATTTGTAATGGTGATGATAAAGCAAAGCAAGAATTTCCATTATCATACAAACTGGATAAAATTTTCTCACATTTATGTTAGCATGAGAAAAAACAATATGGCAATATTATTATATAACTTGGTAATATTTGAGGGGTAGTTTCATCTCGTTGGAATTTGACTTTTAAAAGGTCCGTTGGCAAAAAATAAGCTTTTTACGTCAAGCAGTTTAAGCAGAATCGTGGTTAATCAATTATCCAACTTTTTGGAACACCCTGTATGATTTTTTAAAACATTTCAAAATATGTAAAAAAAACAAATAAATTATGCGTGTCCAACTTTGAATAAGAAGACTAAGGAAGGAGCATATCAAAAATCTTAGGTACACCGCGATGGGCCTCAAATATGGCCGACTTAAATTCCGGTTTATCAGTGTCGTTCTAATTTTATTTAAAAAATGTAAAACTATGATGTAGGGTAGACGTGGGGTAGACTCAATAATTTGTTGTTTTATTTTACGTTGTGAATAAATGTTGGTAGTTATTAAAATTGTTATAAAAATATATAATTCTAATAAAAATAGATAAGTTATAATAAGTATTTATTAACACAAACATCCGATACGCTACTGAAGCAGGTAAGTCAAATTAACGTATCTAAATTCTTTGACATCTAATCTTTGACAAGTAATAAATAAAAGCTCTTTGATAAAAGCTAAAATGCAAGAAAATATATAATTTAGTTAATTTAAGCGAATTTCATAAATGATCGGTTTACTACACGTACATATGTATATTATATAGTCACTTACTAGCGAAAAGTTGTTCCATTATTTCACTCAATTTTTGCCGAGATCTACCGCACGCTACACAACCAACTATTTTAGAGTCTTTTTCGATAAATCGCGATAGTGTCAGTGTTAATTTAAGTTCTGCCACAATTTCCATCTAGATTTACTACCTTTATATAATTATCAGTAGTAGAATATATAATAAATAACATAAAATAAGCTCCATAAAGACTGACAAATCCACAAAATTTCAAATCAAATTCAAATGTGTCAAATGAATCGTCAAACAGAACTGTCAAGGATCCCCACCCTAGAGAGCTTTTATGGTGCCTTTTCCGCCCACCATGCATGAATACATGGATAGCATTATGCTCCTTGCTTATTCTTCTTATTCAAAGGTGTCCAACATAGAGAAAGGTAATAAAAAGAGAGTGGCAGATTAAATTAGGACGAATGGCATCGCATTTTGTTTTCCTGTCGCGCAACTCAGATCTCTTAAATTTGTCCAAATTAAGCTACGACTGACGATTTTGCTTCCATCTTCCTCTAACGCAACTGCACAAGCCGTCATCGGTGTGGACATTGTGTGTTGTCTCTATCATAACTTTATTGGAAATTGGCGCGTGGACAGGAAAATTGTTTGAGTTTCTAGGATTTTATTTGGTATTTGTTATAATCAGTTATAATTATTGTATATTGGTGTAATTAAAATTTTATTATTACTACGCATAGAATTAACCGAAATAGGCAGAGGATTAACCGAAAAGAAAGGTAAATTAAATGCGAGGTTAAGTTATTAATATTAATGTTTTATTTTTATACTTTTAATTTTATTTTTGATACAAAATTATTTATATTTATGATTAAATTTAACATTTTTTTACAAAACTGTGATTAAATAAACTGCGATTAAAAGACAATATGGCATTATTATTAGTTTTCCCTTTAATTTTCGTTTGATATAGATATCAAATGTTCATTTGAAACTTATGTTGAAGCATTTTAACTAATTTATCTTCGAAAGTTGAATTTGCCAATTAACCATTTAAAAATTTTAGTTGTTTTAAAATATTTAATTATACTCAATTAAATAATAACAAATTCAACTTTCGTCGATTTATTAGTTAAAAGCTTCAATAAAAGTTTCAAATAAATTCAAAGTAAAGCAAGCTGATTTAAATTCCCCGGCGCATTCGCCAAATTTTTTTAAATTAGTTTGTCCTGTTGTCACAGCAGCGCTAGTGAATGCGATTCCAATTTTTACTACGCAGTCTACTTCTCTCTTTTTATTACTTTTCTCTATGGTGTCCAAGCGTTTTCCCGAAAGACTAACCGTTTTTTAAATAACAAATATTGTAATATTTGAGGGGCGTTTTCACCCTCTTGGAATTTGAGATTCGGGAAAACCCTCCTTATCGAACCTCTACACCCCACAGTCAATCCGTTTGCCAAAAATCAACTTTTAACGTCAAGCAGTTTAAGCAGAATTGTGATTACTCAATGGTCATATTTTATGAAACACCCTCTATAAATTTTTAAAAAAATTTAAAATATGTAAAACAACAAAATAAAATACACGTTTTTAAGAGTTTTTCCGAAAAACTCACCGGTTTTTAAATAAAAAATAATATAATATTTGAGGGGTGGTTTCGCCCCCTTAGAATTCGAGTTTCGAAAAATCCCTTCTTATCGAACCTCTAGACCCTAAAGCCAATCCGTTTTCCAAAAATCAGCTTTTTACGTCAAGCCCTTTAAGCAGGATCGTGATTAATCAATGACCAGCTTTTTCGAAACACCCTGTATACGTTTTTAAAAAATCTTAAAATATGTAAAAAAACAAAATAAAATATACGTGTTTAAGCGTTTTTTTCGGTAACTTGGCCGTTTTTTAAATAAAAAATATTTTAATATTTGAGGGGTGGTTTCGATTGTGATTTGCAAGAAATTGCGCAACGCTGCGTTGCACAACTGAGAAAGCGGTCCATACACTATCAAACAAGTTGCGCAACAAAGCGATGCGCAACGTTCCGTTGCCCAACTGCATCACCCATGCACTTAGTAAAATTTTGATCAAACTTTTTATTAAAAGTTGTGCATTGTTTGAGAAACAATCAAGTCCTCAATTACCACTGCGTGAATTATTATCGTATATACCCTAGATGATGCCGATGATACCAAAAAACGAAAAAGAAAACAAAGAATTTGGATGAAAGAGCTAAAATATTGCACAACGAAGCGCAACACACACATACACTACACAACGCGTTGCGCAAACAGTCCTGTTGCACAAAAGAATTCAAACATTCTTGAAACTCATCAAACAATTGCGCAACGCATTAAACACTACCATACATTGGCAACTCGTTGCGCAACAGCCTGCGTTGCGCAATTTGTTTGATAATGTATGGGCCGCTTTAGAACTAGAATTTCGAAAAACCCCTTCTTATCGAGACTCTACACCCTAGAATTAACCTGTATGCCAAAATTGAGCTTCTTACATTGAGTGGTTTGAGCAGGATCGTGATTAATCAGTGAGTCAGTCACTTAAAGATTTTATATATTAGTATAGATTGCTGTAGTAAAATAAGGTAACTAATTGTGAAAAATAAACATCCAACCCTATGTGAAACACCCTGTATAAATTTATAAAAAATCTTAAAATGTGTAAAACAACAAAATAAAATATACGTGTTTAAGAGTTTTTCCGAAAAACTCAGCGATTTTTAAATAAAAAATATTTTAATATTTGAGGGATAGTTTCACCCCCTTAGAATTCGAGTTTCGAAAAATCCCTTCTTATCGAATCTCTACACCCTAAAGTCAATCTGTTTTCCAACAATCAGCTTTTTACGTTAAGCGCTTTAAGCAGGATCGTGATTAATCAACGACCAGATTTTTCGAAAGACCCTGTATACATTTTTAAAAAATCTTAAAATATGTAAAAAAACAAAATAAAATATACGTGTTTAAGCGTTTTTTCGGAAACTTGATCGTTTTTTAAATAAAACATATTGTAATATTTGAGGGGTGGTTTCACCCTCTTGGAACTGGAATTTCGAAAAATCCCTTCTTATCGAACCTCTACACCCTAGAATCAACCTGTATGCCAAAATTGAGCTTCTCACGTTGAGTGGTTTGAGCGGGATCGTGATTAATCAGTGAGTCAGTCACTTAAAGATTTTATATATTAGTATAGATTGGCTGTAGTAAAATAAGGTAACTAATTGTGAAAAATAAACATCCAACCCTAGATGCAACATTTTTCGTAAACGCCGATTTGTGCGGTGTGAAATTTGTATGCAAAATCCGTATCAACCCAACTTTTTTCTCTTTTTAATACATTTCATTTTCCATTAAGCACTCTACATCACTGTCTTCCACGTTAAAATCCAGACCACGCAATTTCAATGACCAGATTGGTATATCTAGTTAGTTCAAAGGTACTTAAAAGTACTTACTTTGTTAAAATATCACTTCCAATTAAAGGTACCAAATTATCAAAACAAATAATATGCGAGGGCAAACTCGAGTTTGGAGGGTAGTTATTCCTCAACCACGCATTAGGATTTTTGTAGAACAAATCGGCCTCGTCCACATAGTTTGGGATTTTGTTTAAGTTTGGGTTGCAAGTCAAAAATTTAGTTGACACATTAACATGAAGATGGCTAAAAACATAATATTATTAATGTTTATTCAACTGTGCTTGCCTAAACGTTTTCTTTTTAACCATTAAGAAAATACCACATGATCGAGAAAAATAAACGGGGCAAAGACGGCTGGGGAATGATAATCGATGATAATTTCGGCGAGGTCAAGCCCGTTCTTGATTTTTTATTGACGCTTACTGCCAGTTGGCCTTAAGAAGGTTCTAATTTATTTTTATATCGAATAAAAATGATTTTTAAACGATGTAGTTTAAAATTCGTAAAAAAAAATATTTTTTGGAAATAGATTTGTGCGTCTGGAAATGTTCTATCCTTTTTTAATCTTATAATTAGTGTTAATTTTGACAAGTTTTATGTCAATTTTTAGTAAGTGATGTCTATAGTACGAGAGCTAGCAACGTTGGAAAAACAAGTATTTTAAGACGCCTGGCTCTTTGATATATCTTTTACTATGCTCTCTGGAACAGCATGCGGCCCGTCTGGCTGCCGGTAAACGTTGCGTTCCCTACTGCGCATTGAAAGAAGATCCTATATTTTTATTAGTCCTTTAAATTCTAGTATTGAATATACATAGAACATGTCTCCAGAGCGCAGATTTTTTATTTTATTTTCGTTTATATTCTGATAGTAAAGTATTAAATGATTCTGGTAATTAAAAAAAAACAAATATTTAATACTTTACTATCAAAATATAAACGAAAATAAAATAAAAAAAGTCTTTGCCCTGACCCGGATTCGAACTCTGAACCATCGGTTCGTGGTCGGAAACTCTACGCACTGCGCTATGGAGACATGTTCGATTTATATTCAATACTAGAAATTATAGGACTAAATTAATAAAAAATATAGGATCTTCTTCCGATGCGCAGTAGTGAACGCAACGGGTATCGGCAGCCAGACGAGCCGCATGCTGTTCCAGAGAGCATAGTAAAAGATAAAAAGCATAGTCAAAGAGCCAGACGTCTTAAAATACTTTCTCGAAAACGTTGCTAGCTCTTAGACTAGTAGAGATGACACTGACCCCGCCAAAATTATTATCGATTGTAATTCCTCAGCTGTCTATGACGCCGTTTTTTTTTAGATCATACCGTATTGATTACCTGTATAATGGCGTTGAATGGCATGGCATTAGAAACAGAAAACTGGTATTGTTAGGATCGACCTTCGCAATATGACTTAATGGTTCCATGACATCTAGGGTCCCTCTCTGATGACTGTAACCCACGTACCATGCTGGGATCGCATTTCCCAGGAAAATTATGGCAGTAACTAGCCATATTGAAAGCCTGAAGAACAAGTGCTATTCGATAAAAAAAGTGTGTGCACTATGTGTGCAAAACTTCTTACTAACAGCTATTCAAGTGAAGGATTTGAAGGAAATGTTTGAAAAAGTGACATATAATGCTGTATTAATATAAATATTATTTTCAATTTATTTGTCTAAACTGTACAGGGTGAGTCAACGATAGAGTAAAGTCCATTATCTTATTTGTTTCGAGGTTTACAAAAAAAATATTAAATATAAAAGTTATAGGGACGGTTAAGATACACATTTTAAAATTATTATAAAGTATACAGGGTGCTTCAAAAAAGTGTGGCGAATATAACATATGTTTTTTTAAATAGAACACCCTACTTTTTATTTTATTTTTAGATTCTGCGTAAAATTCCATAACTTTTTTATATATAACGTTATATACCTAAAATTAATAGTTTTTGTAATATTTACATTTGTTTAAACAAATGTTAAATTGCAGTGTGATAACAAACTGTCAGTGATGACATGGTTTCTAAAGTTGGAGAACTAAAATTTGGTAGGAGAATTTTATAGAGATATAGAAAAAGACCTATGTAAAGATATTTTAGTTAGATGCTACAGTGTGTTCAAAATATATTTATGAGTTTCAACTACTTAAAATTAAGAAATTTCAAATTTTTTAAACGGTACACTCTATATATTATCATTTTTTCTGATCGATTTTACAAAACTCTTCAACTTTTATTAAGTATGTCATATACCTATTTTTAATAGTTTGCGATTTATTCCAATTTTTTCTACTTTTACCCATATTTTTAATACAATTACGCTATAACAACATAGTTACCATGACAAAAAGTAATAATTATCAAAATTTCTTGTCTGTTAAACAAGTTAAGAACAAAATTTGAATTTTAGTTTAATTTGTTGTAATAAGTATAAATTGTGGAGATAATTGTTACAGATTTTCTGTAACAATTATCTTATTTTCTGTTTCAGATGAAATGAATTAGTCAATGTGACTGATATAGACGAACAAGCCAAGAAAAATATATTTTTTGGTTCAGTACTATATATTATAGAGTACTTTAGCTAGTAGTATAAGAATAGATGTAGATTATCTAGAAAACATCTTCAGTGTGTAATGGGACGGTTTCGCGGCAGTAGTAATATTGGCTTTACCAAATGAATTATAAACTAGAATTACTACGAGAAAAAAACTTTACTGTATGTCGAAGAAAATTCCTATATCAGTAGTCTTCAACAATTAGGTAATCTAGTATTACCTTAATCTGTGGCTATTCGCCCCGACGCGCGACGGAAAATCCAAGTATCCTCTTTCATAATATAGAAATACACCAAAAAAATTCACGACTGCGATTTTAGTTTATTTGAGTAAAGTTAATTAATTTTAACTAATACCAGCAATTGCAACTAATTATTAAGCTACTTGTTAAAGATAAGTAATAAATAGTTTGTTTTGTCATGGTAACTGTGATTTTATAGGGTAATTGTAGGTATTAAAAATATGGGTAAAAATAGAAAAAAATGGAATAAATTGCAAACTATTAAAAATAGGTATATGACATACTTAATAAAAGTTGAAAAGTTTTGTAAAATCTATCAGAAAAAATGATAATATATAGGGTGTCCCATTTAAAAAAATTGAGATTTTTTAATATTAAGTAGTTGAAATTCATAAATATATTTTGAACACCCTGTATCATTTAACTAAAATATCTTTATATATATCTTTTTTTTCATCTCTATAAAACTCTCCTACCAAATTTTGGTACTCTAACTTCAGAAACAATGGCACCACTGACAATTTTTTACCACACTGCAATTTAACATTTGGTTAAACAAATTGAAATATTACAAAAACTATTAATTTTAGGTATATAACATTATATATACAAAAGTTATGGAATTTTACGCAGAATCTAAAAATAAAATAAAAAATAGGGTGTTACATTTAAAAAAACATATGTTATACCCGCCACACTTTTTTGAAGCACCTTGTATACCCTGTAATAATTTCAAAATGCGTATCTTAACCTTCCCTACAACTCTTGTATTTAAAATTTTTTTGTAAACCTCGAAACAAATGAGATAATGGACTTTACTCTATCGTTGACTCACCCTGTACATTTTCTGTTTCCTCAATAGCCCGCAAATTTTGTGGAATACCACCCAAAATACAGTACTTACAAATACGGTACTTTTATGCAAATGCCTAATAATGTTAACGCCACTTAAAAATTATTTAAGAGAAGAAATTTTGAACCTAACCAACAATTCGTGTGGTCTGTTTTTGTTTACATGTTTTGTTCATTTATTTATAGTGATTTACAGTAATTTTGGAATTTTGGTTTGAAATAAACATGACAATGTCCAACAATGAAAATGCGAGTTGCTTAATTCTAATAATTCTAATTCTGAGCTAGCAAATAAGCTAGATGCTTTACCAGAATACCAGTTATTCAGAATCTACAAAGCTATTGATGAAAATTTACTTTCCAACACACAACCAGAGGATATTGGTACACAGGTACATACTGATTTCTTTCGAAAATCGACAACTATGAAACTATGATCCCTTCCCGGATACAAAAATACCGGTTCATTGTGAGACAGGAATATGTAGAGAGAAACAAGCCCTATAACATAGGATACAACATTTTAATGAACAGTGCTTTCCATAAAATGAAAACAATGAAAAATATACGAAATAATATACATTTACTGATTTCTTTCGAAAATCGACAACTATGAAACTATGATCCCTTCCTGAACACAAACGGTTCATTGTGAAACAGGAAATTGTAGAGAGAAACAAGCCCTATAACATAGGATATAACATTTTAATGAACAGTGCTTTCCATAAAATGAATACAATGAAAAATATATGAAATAATATACATTTACTGATTTATTTCGAAAATCGACAACTATGAAACTATGAACCCTTCCTGGACACAAACGGTACATTGTGAAACAGGAAATTGTAGAGAGAAACAAGCCCTATAACATAGAATACAATATTTTAATGAACAGTGCTTTCCATAAAATAAATACAATGAAAAATATACGAAATATATACATGTATGATTTCTTTCGAAAATCAGTACAAAGAAGAAGTTTCACTTCAAAAACGGCGTCAGAGATGGCTTGGAAATGAACATATCTGTAATTTTGTGTGTAAAATTATATCGAGTGTTTTGAGTATAAGAACCCACAGAATCTATAACAAATATACTACTTACATTGATGCTTTTCTACTCCATGCAGCCAAAAATCTTGATGAAATATACAAAACTATTGGCAACAAGGGCAATATAAACCTGAACTCTTTATGAGGTAAAAAGCTAAAAAAAAACAAGAGAATAAAAGAATTAAAAATAAAATAATAATATATTATAAAATCACCTTAAAACAAAAATAGTAAAAACAATAGTGGCAAGCAACACTAGTTCGTTGGGATGATTCTTCCTTGCTTTTAGAATAATCAGTATGGCCATTATGAAAGGAAGTATTTGTATTCCTAAAATTGCAGGCAGTCCAGAGGATAAGTACCAATGCCACGGGTGAGTGCCATAATTAGATGCTATACTTTCAAAGACGTTTAGTTTAAGAAAGTTGTAGGGTGTTATTATAAGGGAACCATGGACCAGACTATCTATGGCTATTGAAACTGCTAAAACTAAATACCTGCAAGAAATTATATACATTAAATAGGAAAATTATTAAAAAAGAAATTTAAAATGATAATACATAGATTTGAAATGATTTTGTGCCAAAGGTTCAATAGAAACTGCTTTTACTGTAGTAAAACTGCATTTACTTACCCAACTGGTAGATATTTCGTAAAAATAAGTCGCCAAACACTCTTCTCGGAAATAATTAAATGAAACAAACACAAAGGTATCCACGTTATAACACTTGTTGGTCTCAGTACAAAGAGTGGAGCAATAATCCATAAAAAATTACCTCTATCATCTGAAAGAGTTTGTTATAAATATTATTGAAACAAAGGCTGATTATTAACTTACCTGCTTCTTTACCAAGCCAAGGAAATTTTGATAGGGCAATAGTCGTTAAGCTTGTTTCAAAAGTGTTTATAAGTGTTCTTGATCCCATATAAAACCAAAACCACGCAGTGGATATCGTAAAAATAGCCCATTTCTTTGTGCCAGACCATTTATAAAAACATAGATCTGCATAGGCACTTATTATTGCCTGTAAAACTCGTGGACCATAAACCTACAAATTAAACAATTAAAAACCTATTATATACTTTCGAAAATACCTTATTACAACTGTTATACTATTATCCAACCCACAATACTGAAGGGCTTTGTATAATATTGTAAAAATAATGGGATATCCATAGCTTCGGATGCCTTGTGACCATTCCCAAGTTAAATGGCCATATCCAAAGGCTAACTTATGAGCAACTTCTACAGATTGGTAATATTCGTCAGCTACAAAATACGTCTGCACTGCAAATATCGAAAAGAGCCTTACGCTCAAAAATAGCGCAAAAATATCCCAGTTTTTAAAATGAGTTAAAGTGGGCAGTCGCATTTTCCGTGTTTCTTCAACAATATTGAATTAATTACAGGTACAAATTTAGTAATAATGCGTTATGAAGTTGTTTTTTACTTTCCTATTAATTTAAAAATAGAAAAATCTACTCCAAGAATCTAAAAATATCGAAAAAATTGGATACCCAAGCGATTTATTTTGAAACTATAATTAAAATGTAAGGTTATGATCGTGTTATGACATTTATGACCGGCGTCAGAGGGGATGTATTGTAAGTTGCATACTAACATGCACAAAATTTAAATATAATAAAAAATAAATATAAATAATTATCACAGACAAAATTAACTAATTTACATTAAACGAAATTATTATAAAATAATTGAAGTAATTAATTAAAGTTTGAGTTGCTCCGAAAATTAGTTATTCATTAGCATTCTTTATAATCAAGCATTTGTAATAAAAAAAACAAGATTATGTTTTTATGCCAGATACTCTTGTTTAATTCCAACATTATTTTTGTTTTAAAATATTGATTCAAATACCCTAGTTTCCGAATTCAATATTATTATACAGTTCTCTATTAAGATTAATTAAGATATCGATTATTAAACTACAATAAGATTTTTATGCCATCTATGCCATTTTATTTTTCCCACCACGCCATTCTGCCCTCTACCGAGACGCTATAAAACTGCTATTGATTTTTGTAAAATAAAATATGGCCATTTGCTACCGATATCGGACTATTCGACGTGCACATCTAGAAACCTTGCGACCTCTATCTCTAATTTTGTGCATTTGTACGCATGCGTTTAAGCCTGATCCTTTATTTTTAATATTTTTATTATTTAAGTATCAATAAAATCAAAATATACCTCAAATTTAATAGAAATAAACGTTTCTTTTAAGATAATTTAAAAAAGTCTAGTTAAAAGGTCACATAAACAAGGGAATTTCATAAAAATGTTACGATTTCAAATTGCCGCTTAACAACTGAAGCGCCCCCTGTATCACATTATAGAAGTTATTAGTTCAATATGTTTGGAGTAGCATTAATAAGATGGAGCCAACATTTTAATAATAAGGAAAAGGTCAGTAAATTTCAAATAGAAACAGGGAAAATAGTGAAATTTTAGTTCTATTTTTGTTAAATATATAGGCTTTAATATTAGCATGTTTGTTTCCAAGCTTTGGATCTATTAATTGTTTAATATTTAGCTCTATAAAGAGATGGCTTCCATGATTGTCGTTCTTTTGTTTTGTAAAAATGCTGTAGACTCTTTACCTAAAATCGTTGTAAAAAGAAGCATAATAAATATGATAATGCTTAAACTATCTAACCGGTAACGATGTAAAAGGAGAGAATTTATTTGCAGATTATAGCGTAAGTGTTTAAAGTGAACAAGTGATCTGAATAGATAGAAAAATGGTTGAGACTAGCAAGCAGGTGAGAGTGGACAATTGGGGAATTTACTTCCTGCAACGTCTTCAGTTGTTCTTTTCCAAAACCGACTACTGCGATTTGACCCTGCAATTCGAGGGTAACGTCCAACTGAAAGTTCATCGTTTAGTAATGAACGCCTGTACCGAATACTTTACTTTTCTGGAACAAACATGTTCAGCACTGGATGATAGCACTATCATAATGCCGAGCGATCTACAGGCTGATGTTATTGTACCCATTGTTAATTTTATGTATACAGGTAAAAATATAATACTCATTAAATGTCAACACCTGTCCTAATTACTAATTTTTTGATTTTCAGGTATGTTAGAATACCATCCGAGTATCTTTACAAAGTTATACAAAGCCGCTGAAGTGATGAATATTGCCGTTTTAACGAAACTTTTGGATGAAATCAATTACAAGAACAATCCGGTACCTAAAGGGAAAAAGAGTGTTATGAGTAGCTGGCAGAGTATGTTGTGTTTGGTAATGTTTGAAATGTTTACTAATAGTGAGTTTTAGATAAGAATATACATAAGCCAGCTTCACCAGTTGCTGGTGACTTGCCAAGTCCTCTGCCGGCAAGGAAACTACCTGTATGGAAACGAAAACAATCTGCGTCTACGGTTCATCCGACATCAACAACTTTCAATAATTCTAAATGGATTGAGGGGCCTATTGAGAGGGATCCTTTACTGGTAAGTCAACAAAATTACTATGTAATAGAGGAGCTAGATTATATGATGCATATACCTACTATTTAGAATTTTAGAACAATGCATTTTTAATTTCTGTATGAATTTTCTAAGAATTTAAAGCTGTGTTAAAATTGCAAATTTTAGAGACTTTTAAAGCTATTCTATGATAGAGTCTTCTTCAAAACTAATCAAAGTAAATAGGCTTGGTATACAGAGTATCCCAGGCTGAATGTACATTAGAAGTTTCTAGAGAACTACAATAGGTATCTAGATTGGATATTTTTTGCACATCGTTGTGTCACAATGAGCTCTCTCTAATAAAATATTTTTAATATGGCTGCACTTCTGGGAATACTGAAAGTTGACAGCGACTTTCTTATTTTAAATGGGTTTTAAATGGGCCCCCCTTTTTTAGTACATACTTAAATTATCTGTAAAATTTTATGAATTTTGATATTAAACACTCTATACCTAACATCCTTGTTTATATATTCTTAAAGTTGTTCAACCGACTAGACAAAATGTGCTGCCAACTGGAGGGCAAATCGTGAACCTTTCGGGGCGGAGTCAAAAATATCGATTATTTTCGTTATTTTCCTCAGAGTAATGTAATAATATAGCTCGGGTTTCTGCAAACTTTAATAGTGATCAGATGATTAAGAAATTTAAACGAAACTTTTATTTTATTGTAAATTATTTTTGCCTGTTATTTAATACGGTTTAGAATTCTAAACCGTATTAACAAAGAAATTATTATTTCGATATGTTGGTACATTATTTATAATAATTTATGATAATGCTAATTGCTGTTGATTAATATTTAAAAAAAAGTTGCATACCTATTTTAATTTGATTTAATGCAGGTTTATAAAAGAATCATTTCATTCTTAGATTATTTTATTCTAAATTGAGTGTTTTACGAATTTTACGATATTTTTTTTTGAAAACATAAAACTTTTTACATTTTTGATGCCAACTAATTGGCATGGTATTATTGGTATGAAAATTAGTCAAGAAAGAAAAGAATTGGCTATAACTTGTAATTTTTCGAAAAAAACATATTATACCTATATCGCTGAAAAGCGTAAAAAATGGCGCTTTTTATGAAGTCATGGCCAACTATATATAATCAACAACCGTTTAAAAAAACATAATGTTTGTGTCATATGTCAAAAATGACAGGCTTTAGAAAAAAAAACAGGAAACACAAACTCATTAGGTATGTGATTATCTACAACTTTTATCTGAAAACTTTTTGTCTAAAATACCGTATGATCGAATAAAAACGGCGCCAGCGATGGCTATGAAATGACGATCGATGATATTTCCCATATAATTTTACATATAAAATGACAGCGATCTTCATTTCATAGCCATCGTTGACGCCGTTTTTATTCGATCATGATTATAATATAATGGAAGAGAGACAAGTTTTAAAATAGCCAAAATTTGTTTTTTTCGAAATATCTAGTAAGCCTTGGACTTCTCCGAAAAATCCGAAAGGCGCATATTTATAACTCCACAAAACTGCAATTCTTTCCCCATTTAACCGACTCACTATCTCCAGTAGTTTCCGAGATACCCACAGAGAACATCGTAGGAAACTCACACTGTATAGTATTTAGAAACTAACTATTATTATTTGACTAGATTAATTTGATTAATAAGACTTGATTAATTTAATTTAAAATAAATTTGATCAGATTTTTTTTCGATTCTACTACCAGAAAACCAAAATTATATGATAACGCACGTTTCAACGAAGTTGAAGGAAGATATAGTGTATCTATCACAATACTTAATAGAATTACTACAATTAGAAGAAAAACAAAAAGAAAAAATACCCAAATACCTTCACCTACTACTCATCTACAAAATAAACTAATATAATCTCTTATAAAAAAAACTACACAACTACTTCTTGTATTCTACACTGAAAAAATTATCAAACTTACTAATTAATCAAACAAAAAGAAAAAATAACCAAATTATCCCTTCACCTACTACTTATAACTACAAAATAATAAACTATAAAAACACTACTAAACTATTTCTGGTATTCTGCACTAAACAATCTAATTTTACACTACAACCACTACAACTACAAAGAAATAAGAACATTTTTTAAAACTAGAAGAAACAGAACTTCGATACGTGCAACCAGTATAATAGATCAAGCGGACAAAGAATATAAAATACTTTAAAAATGTGCATTCAGAAAGAAAAAATATCTCGAAAATGATCTAAACAAACATTTTTTTTCTTATCAGTGAAAAGCATCGGCCTCGTCGGCCTTGCGGAATTTGTCGGGTATTTACAATGGTCGAATTGTATAATTACCAGGTTTTATACCATATCTAATAGACAAAAAGTATCTGGGCGATTAGTAACCAATTGGCACAGTCCGAAAATTATCGATTTTTATTTTCTCTGTTTTTATTCGTCGCTTCAAAATTCAGAGTAACAAAAAATGTTTTTCTGTAGTAAAAGACCGTGAAATATGCCCCGCCATCTGGTGCTTTACATCCATAAACGTCTTAGGTTGAGCTACTTTAAAAATTCATATACAAGGCTAACATTAACTATTTTTGAGAGAAAACAACATTTAACATTTTTGGAAGAAAAAAAACTGCCTTTCAAAAAAAAATTGTATAGCCTAAATGATGAAGGATTTGAAGGATATGTTTGAAAAAGTGTAGTTTGAAATGTTAATAAGTAATAAATTAGAAAATATTTTTTTACGTGTAACAAATAGTCTTTTACGTGCAACAAATAGTTTTTTTATGTGTGACAATTAGTTTTTTACACATAAAAGATTGTTTTTTGCCTGTAAAAAATAGTTTTTTACGCGTAACAAATAGTTTTTTACGTGTAACAAATACCGTATAATCGAAAAAAACGGCGCGTCGTCCAGTTGGCTTGGAAATGACGATCGATGACATTTCCTATATAATTTTACTATAAAATGACAGCGATCTTTATTTCATAGCCATCGCTCACACCGTTTTTATTCGATCGTACGATAGTTTTATACGCGTAAAATAAAAAATGAATAAACAATTAAAATATCAATATTTTTGATAAACACGAAAAATAAATTATTAAATAAATAAATAATAATAATTAAATACATTATCGAAGTGAAACTTGATGATGGCCGCGAGACGGCCGTGAGGGTGCAGCCACACTATTCTAAAAACGGCGTATCGGCGTAACGGCGTAATGACCTTGAATAGATTTTCAGTAATTCTATTGGCTGAAACATTCATCTGTCAGAAATTTTATCTGTCAAATTCATCTGTCAAAAATTTCAGCCAATAGAATTACTGGAAATCGACGTAACGACCTTGACTAGATTTCCAGTAATTCTATTGGCTGAAATTTTTGACAGATGAATTTGACAGATAAAATTTCTGACAGATGAATGTTTCAGCCAATAGAATTACTGAAAATCTATTCAAGGTCATTACGCCGTTACGCCGATACGCCGTTTTTAGGATAGTGTGGCTGCACCCTGACGTGCAAGAGGAAAGGTGATGGCGGCAGTGTTGCCACAGCTACCCCATTCGGGGTAGATCTTGTTGGTTAGCAAGAACAGTTAACCTAATAGGACTGCTCACTCAGCCAAAAGTGTCTGCCAGGTGCATGCCAAAACTCCTCGCTTTGTGACGTCATTGTAGTCCTTGTCATGGTTATTAGTCCTTATCCGGCAACCAATAATACACACAGGTGCATTATTGGTTGCCGGATGCAAAACTTTCATTATTTAGTTTATTTATTAATTTAAACACCTTATATGTATGCACTAGAGAAAATTAACTGTATAAATCGTATTAAATACTCGGATAATGCATTTTTAAGAACAGCAGTTCCCAGCATCACCTTTTGCAGGCGTTCTTTTTAGAGTACTTCCATATTTTGCTTTAAAATAATTAATAAACAATATCGTAGACACTTAGTAAGCACTTTGTCACAATCCACAATACAAAATGGACGTATTTATTCACTCTATAGCTCTAAAAACTGTAAAAACACCTTTTTTACATTTAAAATTGACAAAATAATTAACTCAAAATTTGTCAGCTGTTATTTTTATAAGTTTTCCATAGGCAACTAATAATACACACTATCATGATAAGGACTACAATAACGTCACAACTGTCAGCTGAAGCGCGGGAAGAGGCGAACGGACGTCTTTTGAGGATGAGCAGTCCTATTAGTTTACCGTTCTTGGTTGGTTAGTAGCAGTTCGTAGTAGTAAGAGATATAGATGTAGTAGTACTTTGGTCTAATGGCCACAGCTGCCAGGCTATCCGGCCGAGTGATAGAATTATCGTTTTTTAATAAAAATCAAAAAAAACATAGAATTATAAAGCTAGAATAGTATAAGGTTTTATATTAACTCTGTTTTATGTGAAGTTTATAAAAAGCATTCATAAAAAATTATATATCCGTCAAATCTTTTAATTTAATAGCTGTTAGTAAGAAGTTGCACACAGTATTTTTTTTATTGAAATTTAAGTAGTAGCGGTTTTTTGTAGTACGCTTTAGTGGGATAACGCTGTAAATAGTTGGCAACACCGCATCACTGTCCCGTTTCCTTTCCAGGTACTGGACAACGCTCCCAAACCCACCCGCTTCGAATGGCCCGACGACGACCTCAAGCACATCACGCCGCTGGACTCGAGCGCCTTCGACTCCAGCGACGTGTCGCTGACCAGCAAGCCGCTGTGGACCAAGGAGGACGACCAAAAAGCCGGCATCGTCGAGCAGGAGGCAGCCCGCTCGGGCCTGATGGGCGACTTGAGGGAGTACGAGGAGGAGGACGGTCCGCCCGTTAAGGAGCAACCGGCGGTTTTGCAGAGCGAGGTGTCTTCGAGTAGTAGGGGTGGCGGGGAGGAGACTAGCTTGAAGAGGAAATCGGAGACGAAGCTAGTATCGTCGCCTAAAAGGTTAGTTATCTTTTTTCTGGTTTGTTCTTTACTGGTTATTTAATTCTGGTTCTTTTTTTTATTTTATATCATGGCATCCTCTAGGGTTGAGAACCGGGAAACTCCGATCTCGATCTCTTTTTTCTTTCCTTGTATTCCTGTTTTTTTTTAACTCTCCTATCCTAATTTATGTTATACAGTTTGTCCCAGGCTGAGTGTGCATTAGAAGTTTCTAGAAAAACACATATCTAGATCGGAGATTTTTTACACATCATTGTTTTACAACGAGATCTATTAATTAAAAATATTGTTATGTTTTTCCTCGGTTCCGTGTGGATAGAAAGTGACTATTTACACTAAGTAACAAACAATAAGATTAAAGGACTTAAAGAACTATATACAAACTATTTATCTAGAAAGAATTTATTTTGAATTTCGTGCGACAATTGTACTCGTCTATTTATTTCTGTCCTCTTCGGGCCCCAGCCGTCGGTTTATATACCCACAGCTAAAGAGTTCTCGAATAATCCATAGATCATTAGCTGCATAGAGAAGGTTTCGAATGTTCTCGTATGTACTACTCAGGATTGGCAACTGGACTCGTCTATTTATTTCTGTCCTCTTCAGGCCTCAGCCGTCGGTTTATATACCCTCAGCTAAAGAGTTCTCGAATAATCCATAGATCATTAGGTGCATAGAGAACGTTTCGAATGTCCTTGTATGTACTACTCAGGGTTGGCATGATATATATCAATGATATATATCAGATATATATCATTGATATATATCATGATATTTATACCATATATACAGGGTGTTTCAAAACAAATGCGAAAAACTTTAGGGGGTGATTCCTTGTTCAAAATAAAGGGTAGTTTGCTTCATAAATGTTGGGTCAAAAGTCAACCATTAGGGAGATATTGCGGTACAAAGATGGCGGAAAAATAATGTTTTTATTTTTTATCTTGAAAACGAAAAGAGATAGACTAATAAAATTTTATGGAAGCATTACTGTTATGAAAACACACTTTCTGGTAATTTTTCACTTTTTTTAAAAATGAGTGGAAGGGGTTGAAATAAACTACCCCTATCATTCTTGTTAACGAAATTTAAAGAAAAATCTTATGAAACACATGCAAATGCTTTAATTTGGATAGTTTAGTTTGTTTAGAAACTTTTTTACCTCTTGTGTTTTTTTGATAAAACTCACCGATTGGAAATTAAAAAATAAAATGTAAAGCATTAGATGTCAGGACAAAAAACATTTTTAGATTAAGTTGTTATTATCTAGATCATTAATAATCATCTAGATAATAACGTATTGCAGTAGAGTAATGTCAAATAAAATAGTATTAGGAACATCCTGTTACAGCTGTTACTTTTTAACAGCGGCCGACTAGATTTTTTCCTAAAAAAAATTACAGCAGCCCACTAGATTCTTTATCAGAAAATGTTTTTTGTCCTGACATGTAATGCTTTACATTTTATTTTTTAATTTCTAATCGGTGAGTTTTATCAAAAAAATACAAGAGATAAAAAAGTTTCTAAACAAACTAAACTATCCAAATTAATTTTTTTGCATGTGTTTGATAAGAGTTTTCTTTAAATTTCGTTAACAAGAATGATAGGGGTAGTTTATTTCAACCCCTTCCACTCATTTTAAAAAAGTGAAAAAATTACCTGAAAGTGTGTTTTCATAACAGTAATGCTTCCATAAAATTTCATTAGTCTATCTCTTTTCGTTTTCAAGATAAAAAATAAAAACATTATTTTTCCGCCATCTTTGTACCGCGATATCTCCCTAATGGTTGACTTTTGACCCAACGTTTATAAAGCAAACTACCCTTTATTTTGAACAAGGAATCACCCCCTAAAGTTTTTCGCATTTGTTTTGAAACACCCTGTATATGGTATAAATACCGTATGATCGAGAAAAAACGGCGTCCAGTTGGCTTGGAAATGAACATCGTTGACATTCTCCATATAATTTTACATATAAAATGACAGCGATCTTCATTTCATAGCCATCGCTGACGCCGTTTTTATTCGATCATACGGTATTATATCATGATATATATTTTTGTGGAAATACCCAAGCTCACCTGATGATGGGGTAGGGCCCCGAAACCGGTAGTGAGAGCAGATTGATCCACAACATGACGAACATAGCGTGGAATTAATTTCTATATTAGCAGTTCAAGGCAAGAAATTCTTATATAATTTTATTAGATATTTATACCTTGATATATATCATGATATTTATAAAAAAATAAAACTCAACAATCAGAAAGAAAAAAAAACAAAAAAGATAATATTGATTGGATCTGGGACAATTCAAATGTACCAAAAACTTTGCCAGAAACAGTATCAATTGATTCTGACTCTGGCGATGATTTACCATTAATAAATCAAATATAAATTTGTTTGTTGTTAGTTTTAGAATATCTGTTTATTTTTTTGAATTTCCGTTTATTTTTTAGAATTCCCGTTTATTTTTTAGAATTTCCGTTTATTTCTTAGAATTCCCGTTTATTTCTTAGAATTCCTGATTATTTTTTTAGAATTCCCGTTTATTTTTTAGAATTTCTGTTTATTTTTTAGAAGTTCTGTTTATTTTTTTAGAATTTCTGTATATTTTTAGAAGTTCTGTTTATTTTTTTAGATTTTCTCTATATTTTTAGAAGTTCTGTTTATTTTTTTAGAATTTCTGTATATTTTTTAAGATTTTTGTTTCAATGTTGTTCCTATTCTGTGCAAAGCAACAATAATTAAGTTGAAATAGAAATATTTGCTTGAGCTCTTGATTTTACTTGATACTAAACGCAGTTTTACATAAAAAATAAAAACAAAAATATCAAAACTTGATATATATCGGATATATATCCGATATTTGATATTTATATAAATATCATGATATTTGCCAACCCTGATACTACTCCATTCCAGTGGAACTCGATTCTTCTCGAACGTTCGAATGAATCATTACGGTGTTTATTCTTTAATGCGATTTAAGGTTATATGGGGGCGGGACATTTTAGTTAGTTAGGTTATGCCGAGTCCACACGGGTGCGCAACAATATTTTCAATATGGCGGTACTTCCGGAAATACCGGAAGTTGACAGCAACTTTCTTATTTTAAATGGGTGCCCCCATTTTTTATTGCATACTTAAATTCTCAATTCAACACTCTATACCTACCATTAACCGTTTTGGAGAAAAAAAAAATATTTAAAATTTTTGGACGAAAAAAATTACCTGTCAAAAAATTTGTATAGCCTAAAAGTCAAATTTAGTAATTACCCCAGCCACTATGACATAAAGATAAGACATGTGGCTTTCATCTATTTCAAAAATTAAATTGTTCAAATATCATATAATAATGGCGGTAGCTGTCATGGTATTAAGCGATTAAAAAATTATCATAAATCATTTTTTTTTCAAATGGAAACCCACTTTTTTATTTCACCAGTGGAAAGGTTTTCCAATTCGTTACTTTTTGAGTAAAAAAAATAATAATTTAATAATAATTTTTTATACATGTTTTACCTAAAATAAATCGTTTTTAAGTTATTTAAGATTTAGTTTGAAAACGTATATTTTTCTTGATTTTATCTAACTTTCTGACATGAAGTGTCAAACGGTCAGACAATTTATTTCCATCTGTCAGAAAACGAATTGTTTGAATTTCCTATATTATAAATCTTTTATTTGTTTAAAAGTTTAAAAAGTGTATTTATAAAAATATATATTGTATTTTCGCTCTTTAGTGATATCCAATAGTTGATATTATTAATAATATACCCTATGATCGAAAAAAAAAACAGCGCAAAGTTGGCTTGGAAATGATGATCGGCGTTTAAAGTTATAGGCTAACTAGTTATAGGCTACTAAATTTGACGTTCAGGCTATACACATATTTTTGACAGGCAGTTTTTTTGTCCAAAAATTTTTTTTTCTCAAAAACGGTTAATGTTAGATATAGAGTCTTTAATATTAAAATTCATAGAATTTTACAGAGAATTTAAGTATGTAATAAAAGATGGGGACACCCACTTAAAATAAGAAAGTTACTGTAAAATTCCGCTATTTCCGGAAATGCCGCCATATTGAAAATATTTTTAATCGATAGATCTTGTTGCGAAACAATGATGTACAAAAAATCTCTGACCTAGACGTTGTAGTTCTCTAGAAACTTTTAATGCACGCTCAGCCTGGGACACCCTGTATACTAATGTACCAAATTTTGTTTATTTATCTGAAAAAAGTAAAAAAGTTATAGGGGTGAGCTATTTTTAAGAAACACCCGGTATATCTGCTTATTTACAGGGTGAAAATTACGGAGCTGGATGATGAAACTGTGATATGCATCAAAACCAGCAATCCAAGCGAACTGGACCATACGAAGGTGGTGTCGGAAATACTTAAGAAGTTTCCCGGCCTTGTCAAAAAGAAGAAAAACATCAAACTGAAAATTATCACGGCCAAAGGTGCTTCTGCACCAGCAGTCAAAGAGAAGCCAAAAGTCCAGGTAAAATTTTATCAAAGTACTGACCAGGCACTAGACACTCAACGGTAATTTTCTAGAACTACAAATTTAGTTTCTTCCGCATCGCCAGACGGCGCACGGTGGGGTATTAGCATGAAAAAGGAAATTCGAAAAAGCAAATGTATTTAAGATTTCCCAAAAAAAGATAAATGATAAGTTAAATCATCTCTGCCATGAATGGCGTTGCTATGGGTGTGTTTAGTTGCATTCATTTGTTTCAACGAAACGTCAAAGTTGTTACTTCTCACAGATAAGAGGTAAATGGCTAAATTTAATGTTTAAAATTATAAATTGTTGTTGTTCTTGTGCTCTTTTTACGTTTATATTATTGTTTTGATTGAAAATGGCTCAGCAAGCTGCAGGTATGTATTCTACAAAAACGTATTATTTATTTTGATATTCTCTATACTAACGATTTTTTTTGCAACTAAAAGTTAGGCGTTCAGAAAATTTGATTAAATTTGTGACATTTTTATTGTACTTAGAGATTTAGTTGCGCATTTCGAAGAATTCAGCATATTGTCTATATACGTTTTACTTAGTAAACATTGGGCTTTCATACAGTAAAATAAAATACTGCGACTTTTTGCGACTTTGCTGATAAAATGAGAAAAACATTCTTGGTTTCCTCTAATTTACCAATCAGTGATATACTAATGCGAGGTGTAAACCGCGATGGCATTGTTGTGTACAAAGCGATCGCATTAGTGCCATTAGCAGTATAGCACAATTTGGCATTAGTAGCGACTTTAGTGGTATAGGCATTGCTCGCGGATCAGTCGTAGTATTAGTAGTATTAGTTGCGATATTACTACTGGCATTAGTGGCATTGACCGTGGAAACATTGGAACAGTGATTTTTCTTTCTATTTTTAGAATCGACGAATTATCCTTTATTTTGTTCATATTATTTCCTCTTTAATTGAAAATAGCAATAATTTATATAAGATCTACATAAAAAAATTTCGATCAACTATCTGTGTCAAATACCCCACTGTGCGGCACAGAAGACATTAAAGTACAGGTTTCTAATTTCTATATGAAGATGAGATGACAGTCTCTATGTTGACTAACGTCTATGGTCTAGTTTTGGTCTATTTGACAAAATGTTATGATCCTTCAAGTTATTTTTAAATCATTATTAAAATAATTTTTAAAATCAGATATTCCTGATTTGTCCTAACCTAACCTAACTGAAAGTTAGGTGATTTCAGTGATTTATTATATGTTTATAGTTTCTGTTTTTTTTTAATTTATCAATTATTTTTTATTATCAATTTATCATCAAGTTTTTATTAATTTATGTATTTTAATATTAACAGTCTATCATCATCTTCGTGTTAGATACTAAACTTTTTTATTAAAGTCATTTTGATATTTTAGAAATGATAAATTTATTTATAAGTAAGTACTTAGTTGGTAATATATAGTATTTTTTTTAGTAACAGTTAATTAGTAGTCTATAATATTTTTACTATATTATTATTTATTTGTTAAATCAAAAAAATAGATGCTATGTGCTCTATTGTTGGTGTTTAAAATGTATGTATTCATAATTTCAATTTTGTTTTGACCATGTTACACTTCTAATGATCTAATAAAATGTAAAATGTAGTAAAAAAGTCTATATTTATTATTTTATATTTTACAAGGAATAATTTTACTCTTGAATAACGTCACCGTTTTAGTAACAATTATGTTATGCCAAAACTCCACATTAGTTTCTTCCGGATTACTAGGTGGCTCTAAGGGTGTATTCCGTTGCTTACCTTGGTTATGGTTTTATGTTCCGTTTCTATCGGTTTCCTGAAAGTTTTCTTATTACGGAACACGGTTTCTGAAAAATTCGGTTATAACTGTCACCAAACTAACCAGCGCGAGAAGGCTGTTTTTTCTGGTTTTGTTTGTCAATCAATGTCATTTATGTGACAGAAATCAAGCAAGTATTGGAAGTTCCAGTGAAATTCTCATTTAATTTCTAAAATTTGTAATAATATTTTGTATTTACATCCAAAAGCAATGGAGGTAGGCAGTAAAGGTAATAAATTTCATTAACTAAATAGAATGACTTTTCAGGACCATTTAAACTTATCATGCAGCCATTGTTTCTTCAAGTCAGGAACATTTAAAGAAAACATGAACAACAAGACAACTAATCGTGAGTGTTGATAAATATTGATTAGATTTGTTTATTTATTATTGATCTCTTTTAATATTGGACCTGCAAATCTTCACTTGAGCTGTCTAACGAGTTTAACAGTTTATTAATAAAATATTTTTCAATATTAAACTCAATTGAAAAGAAGAAACAAACGTAAAAGCAGAGAACAGGTACATTAAAAATGCATAAAAGACAAACAATTTTATAATAGAGGTATTGAAATTTAGAAAATGTCAACATTTGACGTTTCCAGTATTTTACCAAACCGTTCCGTATCAAACCGATGTTTTTCAGGAACCGTAGTTTACCGATCTGGTTCGCCTGGTTTTGCAACGGAATACAGCCTAAATGTTTTATATCAGTATCCATTCTATCTCTAGTAAATGACATTAGTCTGTGGTTGGAACAAACATACTGTATAATATATTTTCAGGCGCCAGTTCAATTGGAAAAGGTAGAAAAGATAGAAAGGTCGTACCGAAACGAGTCGAAACCTGTAGTAGTAGAAGCGCAGCCTGTACGGGATTCCAAAGCGCTTAAAGAAAACAAAAAGCCCCAAAAAAAGTCAAAGTCTTACAAAACTGCCGATTTCAGGTGTTTCGGCGATGACGGACCATGGGCCTGTATGGAATGCTTAGGTAGGAATTTTTCAGGACATCGTTGAAAAGCAGTTTTAATAATATTTTGCTTTTTTATACCGTGCTGGCAACTGTTACTTTTGGGTCGGCATTTACATGTGTGGAAGTAAATCGCATAGGGATCTTATTAAGTCGGAGTGGGAGAAATGCGACGGTGTGCTGTTGCGGCGTTGCCGATACGCCTTTCCCTATCAAGTAAAGTAAAATCACGATCGCAAACCGCTTATTTTTAAAAGACTTTTTTTTCAAGGGATAACTAGATAAAATCATTAGACATGTTTCTGAGCATCTGAAATGGAATTATAAGGATATCGTTAGGGTGTCATTTTTGTTATAACGAGAAAACGTCAGTAATCGCGATAATTAGAAATATATAATAGAAAACTCAACTTTTTAACACATAACAGGCCATAACTCAAGAACCACTTTAGATATTGAAACTTTTTTATTTTCAAGATCGGATATTTTACAATATGCTTACATAAGAAAAATTCGATAAGGTTGTTTTTTCTATTAAAAATTGTAAACAATCCATCCATTTACTTTTAGAGCATAGCAATTTTCAGCAATCGTGTAATTTTTTTATTGATAAAGATTTTCACATACTGTCTACAAAGAAAATAGAGCAGAAATATTAACAAAGTTCTTGAAAAAGATACAATCTATTATTTCTAATAGATTTCGAGATATCGATTTTTGAATTCAGAGTTCTAATAGCGCGACCACTATCGAACACCCACTCAATTCCACTTATTTTTACCAAAAATGCAAGTGTTTCTAGCTTGCACTTAAAAAAATTCAAGCTATAGGGAAAATTACAACGATTCGTTAATAAATGAACAAATTAAGTATCACGAGACGTAATTAAATCGTGAAGCTGAACGCATGACGTACACCTTTTCCTAGAACTTTAAGTACTGACAGAGGTATTGATTGGGTCGATCGGTCAACTGCGACAAATTTGCTATACCCCTTCCACGTCTCTTAGCGATGTGCACAGTTTCTCGGTTTATTTCATACGTTTGGCAACGTGTTTACTGTCCTCTCTTTGTTCAGTACATTATAAACGCATTGTACTCTTCTTACATACGGAAATCTTGACCCAAAACTAACCTTTGCCAGCCCTTAGTATAGTTATTTTTATAATTATAGGTGATGGAGATCCTCCTGAATTCGTTTTGTACTATCTCTTCCGTAAACATATGACCGACGTCCACGCTGTAGAATTCGAAGATTCTCTATGTAAATATTGCGGCAAAAAGTGCGTTACAGACGTACTGATGGCCTTCCACTTGTACACTAAACATGGACTGATACCAAATTCGAATATGAGGTTCCCTAAGTGTTCAAAGTGTCCACTTATCGGTAAGCAATTGAACAGTTTCAAAATATTTTTTAATCCATTTTTTTTATTTACTTTTTATGTTTAATTATTAATTTTTGTTTTGTTTTCTAGCGGTAACAGCCGAAAAAATTCAACTACATAGTACGATTCACGGCGAGGATGAGGTCCAATGTCAAAATTGTAAATTGGGATTCTTCACTAAGAAGGACCTGCATGCCCACGTCCAAATTTCAGGACATTGCCAATCTAGTAAGTGTGCTTTAAAAATATTTGACATCTATTTACGAAGATTATTTTTTTTTATATTGTAATCGCAAAACATTTTCCAATGCACGTCGCTATGTTGGTCACATTGCGCCGTGTTCAGCAGTGTTGTCCTTTATTATTTGACAATTATCCTAGTGTCGGTCATTATTTTGTCTAATATTGTGTTGTTGTTGAAATCTTTGCGAGTAATTCTCGTTTTTTTGGCCTATTTTCATAGTCTTTTTTTTAAAAAAAGCACTTTTAAGCACAAACAGTTCTTTTAAGAACTAAATTTTCGAGTTTTTGTATTGCATTTCTTGAAATTGTGTGTTGAAAATATGCCGAAGCATTTATACAGTCGAAGCAAAAAGCTTGTAGCTTCCCTGATAAACAATTTGAACGAGAACGTGACAATAAAGATCGTTTATGACCCTTTATTGCAGTCAGAGAAGTAGGTTTGATTGATAAGCACATTATACCACTTTTAAAGTTAGTTTTTATTAAAGTCTGTGATTATTAGTTTGTGCATTAATAGCACCTTCTTACTTGTTATTACCACTTATGGCGTTGTAAGATGTATATCAATAAATAAATAAATAACCCATAATAACGCTTAGAATAATAATAATGGACTGGTTTTTGCCAATATGTAGGTAATAAGCCAAATAAGCTATAAAACAAATAAATCAATTACTTACTAAAATATTAGTTATTAAATTAAAAATAAAACGTAAAACTCTTTAAAAAATGATATAATAAATATATTGTTTATCAATTTTAAATTAATATTCATCTCATAAATCCGTCACAATCTGGCAGCGCTGTCGCCATCGCTTGTCACTCAAAGACGTGCTTCGGAAATTGTTTTGTATATTATTTTATGGTTAAACTGAAAGGACACTTTTCTGCACATAATTTCTTGTTGTCATTTCAGCTAAACGAATTATACACCCTATTTCAGGAAAGGCGATCCTGGACTGCGCCTACTGCACGAAAAAGCTGCAGTCCTCGGTGGGCCTGTTCAATCACGTGCGCACGCAGCATTTTAAGGAGGCGATCCGCGACGGCATCACCAGTCTGGACGAGAAAATGGACTTCGAGGACATGGAACAGGAACTGAGCCAGCCGGCACAGGAGCCGGTGAAAGAACCGGAGGCGGTGGCGGTACAGGTGGCGGATATTCCGATTAAGAAGGAGGAGAAATCGATAGTACCACAGCCGAAAGAAAGGGTAAGAAGTTTGTACGAATAAATAAATTGATACAACTGGAAAGCAAAACGGGAAATTAATATATTTATAAATCTATAGAGAAGTACTATTTCTTACTTTCAAATTTCAAGAAAGTTCCTGTATTTATTGTTATACTTATTAATATAACTTATATACAGGAAAAAATAAAACAAAATATTTTATTAATAATAATTTCAATAATTTACAAATGCTTGCTGAGTTTTATACCTTAAAAGTTGGTCAATTAACTTTAATCTTTTTTTTTTAAACCAGTACCTTTGGACCCCCTTATCTTTTTACAGTACTAAATGCTATTGTTATTTATTCATCATGTGATGTATTTTTTTACAGCTACTCCAGTTTCACAAATTTTATTCTTGGCTAATACCACTTTCTGGTTCTACACTTACTTTCGTTGCACTTAATTTTAAAACACGTAATAATACAAATCAAAATGCAAACAAATTTTTTAATTCATAACATATTCTAGAATTCTTGTTATTTGACATAGTTTGACACAGATAATAACCTTTAATTTAACAAGAATTTGACATGTGACAAAATTCTTAAGTCTTCTTCTTTACAGGTAAAGATATTGTCGAATGTTAAGGTATCCAAACCAGAAGAGACCCATATTGCTGATACTGAAACGATTGATAATGCTGCAGTAACACAAGCTGACCAAATTGCTGTTACAACTGCCACTACTGCTCTGAGTAACATTGGTGGTAGTTTAGCAACCAATTTAGGTAAGTTCTTTACAAACTTCATTTTTTAAATGTATTATAGGATTATATTCATTGATATATGACTATCTGATATTTTAAGTGACCATACTTTGAAGAGTAATCTAAAATGTCAACATTTACATGTATAGTTCCTGCTATATTGCCCCTTTTTTAATTTAATTTTTTTTTATTTATTTCAGGTTTAGTAGATATTGTAGTATTAGACGATAATCAGCCATATATTTTGCAACAGCCTCAAGGACAGCCTGGTAATGAATTCATACTACCGGAACTTGGAGCAAATGATGGTAAGATTGCTTCTCGTGAAATAATTACCGTATGATCGAAAAAAACGGCGTCCAGTTGGCTGGAAAATGACGATCGATGATATTTCCTTTCTTCATTTCATAGCCATCGCTGACGCCGTTTTTTCTCGTTCATACGGTACCACTCAATCGAAAAAAATGGCCTCAGAGTTGGATTGGAATTAAAAATCGCTTCATTTTATAAAGTTATACGGGAAATGTCAGTGATCTCCATTCCTAAGCCAACTTGACACCATTTATTTTCGATCACACGTTGCTATTTCCAAGTACTATAGTCTGTCCAACGAGAAGATCCTTGACAATGATAGATGTGTCTGTCATTTTAATTTCAAAGTAGTTTATTTAATTTTACAAAGAAATAAGTTGGTACAACTGGAACGCATAGCAGGAAATTAATATATTTAATTTAAAATTTGACTGACAAGGACAAGTGATTACTTCAAAATATTTTGAAAAAAACTGTATAAAACTGAAAAAATGTAATAGAGTTATTTTATTTAATAAAAAACGGTATGTGTTAATACAAAACAAACAAGAACAAGACGCCACATACAAAAAAAATATAAAAAAGAACTATTTCTTACTTTCAGGCTTTATGAAACTTCCCACATTTATAATTATATTTATCAATATAACTTATGTACAAATACAAATTTGTAATATTCCGCAGGAATAAATAAAACATAAATAAAACAAACTATTTTATTAATAATAACATTTACCAAATTTTATACCTTAAAGGTTAATTAATTAACTTTAATCTTAATTTTTTTAACCTTTTGACATTATTTTTCTGCAGTACTAAAATCCATTATTTACCTATCGTGTGATGTCGATATTTTATAGCTACTCCAGTTTTTAGTATGTGTTTAGTATGGTCCTTCTACCATATTCGAGATGCACTTATCTACGACGAGATGGTATATGAACTTTATTGATGGTAACTTTATTGGTGTATAAGACTTTCTGCCTGGGCAGCGAATATTAACCATAAACTGTGCTCTGGGTCTACAGTTAATTTTCACTCGATTTTTCCTCCACTTGATTTCAAAAGACACAAAACACACGTAATAACACGAATCAAAATGCATCATCTTCCAAAACGCAGTATTTGACTAAAAGTTGACACAAAATTCTAACCTATAATTTGGCAAGACTTTGACAAACGTCAAAAATCTAAAGGCGAGTTCATACGCATCGGCGTCCGTTTGTCGTTTATCGTTCCGTCAAACCAATAAAATTGAAATACGACCTGTCATTTTTTGAAATAAACCAATAAAACTGGTTAAAAACAACAAGAGATGACGCATGACGGATTTATAATTAAACTCATCCATAGTTAACTTAAAAATTATTAGAAACTTTTTTTAGTTAAATAAATAGATTGGTATGGGACGTCATCTGCTTTTCTTCTGTCATCGTCTGTCGAAATCTTACCTGAGAAAAAAAACAGAGTATAATTAATAGATAATGTCAAATGTAATTTAAACATCAATATAATTGTCAGATGTATGATATTTTATTTATTGTTCATTTGAACTACTTCTTTGTTAAACGTTTTTTGTATTTTTTTTTATATCAATCTAAAATTAAAAACAGGAGAGTTGAAAAAGTTTTCAGTTGTGTAAAATGCATGTCTTTGTCATATATACGAATGCGTGTCATATAACTTTTACCCATTAATTTTATTGGATTTATGGATGGAACCTTTAAATAAAAAGATTAAGGAAGGATGTTATTTACATATTCACACATGGAGAAATGGAATATACATCATGAAACAGTTCTGTTTGACCTTTTAATTGACGCATTTGAATTTGATTTGAAATTATGCGGATATATGGGATTTTCTGAAATTATTTTATGTTATATATTATTTATTCTACGTCTGGATTTCAAAGGTAGTAAATCTAGAAGTATGTTCTTCTTAGAAGCTTCTCTAAACAACTACTAGTTGTTCAATAAATAATAAATAACATAAAACAAGCTCAGTAAAGACAGACAAATCTGCAAAATTTCAAATCAAATTCAACGCCATACAGAACTATCAGGGATCCCTACCCTAGGGCCCCAGCTCCGTCTGCCATGCATGAATACATGGATAGCATTAAATTCCTTTAATCTTTTTATTCAAAGATGAAAATGCAATAGTAGGGTCGCGGTACATTTGAACTATTTCTATAGGTATATTACAAGCGGCAGCTGCGGGGTCAGATATCAATTCAACGGACGAGCTTGTCATGGTTTTAACGGATCACGATTATCAGGACGAGCAGAACAATGGACAGGGAGACAATTCGAACATAGTCGTCCTTTACAGTCATCCCGTGGAGGGCCAACAAGGACAATTTATAACATCTCAGGTACCTAAAAAAATAGATAATGAGAATATTTTTTTTTGTTAACAACATATTTATAGTTTTATTATGTGAGACGTTAATATATTACATAATTATGTGTTTGCTGTCTTACAAATAATGAAATCAAACTAAGCCTTTTTAATCAATTAAATTAATTATATTAATTAAAGATAACCTAACATAAAACTATTAAGTAATACTTGTAGATAAAAAATAATATAACTAAAATTTCTATAGCTTCTATATACAGACCGGACCACTATAGTAGTAACATAGGCAGAACCGGACGAATTAGCGTATATAGGTAGATATGTGATAAGAATGTTTCAGAATTTGTATTTAATAGCCAAAACGAATACATAGATTCTCGCGACAGTTCTCGTGTAAAATGTATTTTTTAAGTAAAATAATGGATGTTTACGAAGTTCGTGAGCAAATTCAAATTGTAAAATGGTATTTCCAAAATAGGTCTTATCGGGATATACAAACAATTTTTCCACAAATTTTTGTAGACAGGCCAATTCCATCTTTACCTACTATATCAAGAGTTATTAATAATTTTGAAACACATGGGTGCGTGTTCCCACAAAAACACAAAAAGCCTGATGTGCTGATTATTGAAGAACAGGAGTTAAAGCAAGTGTTCATTTGTGCTACCGCGGATCGAAATCCCACGTTTTCAAGTAATCAAATTGCTGAGGTGGTTGCTATGCCCACAATGCCCGTATTGTTCAAGAATATGTGAACAATACTTTTCCCAACCGTTTAATTAGTGGACATGGAACTATTTTGTGGCCCGCTAGATCACCAGATCTTTCTCCCAATGATTTATTTTTGAGGGGTTATAGAAAATCCAAAGTGTATGGTCATAATAGGGCTAATAATCTGGATGAGCTTCAAGTAAAAATACGAGAGGCTTTCCAAACCTCTAACTATTAGCCCTAATATGTTAGCCAGTGTCAGAGGGGATTTTACGACCGCCTAGGCTTCTGTCTAGCACAAGAAGATGGTCTTTTTGAACACTCGTTATCATTTTTTTTTATTTAGAGTATTATTTTAGTTTTTTTGGGGGTTTAGAGAATTTATTTATTTTTAGTTTTGGCTTGTAAACACATTCAAATAATAAATATTTAAGTATTTTTATTTTAAATGTTACCTTAAGTGAAGGTAAACACTTAAAATGAAAATAAATACTCGGCACTCCTCGCGTCGTATTCCTAGTCTGTCACGACCGACCCGTCCAAGCACAAAAGCAACTGCCTACTGCCTTACCAGCCGACTAGCCGGCAGTGAATCCCGAGTACGAACGCAAATCGGGTAAACGTAAATTCGTCCGGCAACTTGCTATGTTACTAGTAGCCTGGTCGTCTCTGTATATGCTAAGTTATCTAAGAATATGAAATTTCGTAGGGTAACTTACTAGTAAATTCGCAAGGAATGCTGGAAATCCGAAATGGGGCGGCTATAACTACGACAGCCGGACAACTTTTAGTGAATACCACTGATAATACCATAACTACCCAAGCCTCACCATCTCCCATAGAATCCATAGAATTGATAAGGAAGGAAATCGAATCTGGTGACGGCACCGGAAATGGTGATAATAGTGCAGAGAACACGCATGTCGAAGAGGGACAAGAACATGAAGTTGTTCAGCCAGGTAAGGGGTTATTTTCTAGTTCATACCAATCTACTATCAGTCAAACAATACTTAAATATTCTGACATAGATTTCAATATTATTTCAATGCGTTCAGCATGATTGGTAACCAAGACAGCGTAATAGTTAAACTGCTTTCCTCAATCGGACTATACATAATTCTTTATATTCGTATTTCGATAGAACCGGAATCTGTTGAACACAGTGAAGAAGCAGAAAGAGAAGAAGAATCAACTACTCAAGCTGAAACTAACGGAGTAAATAGTTCGCTGGATACCACCGATTCTTTACAGGAAGAACCTATGGAGGTTGAGGAAATTGGTCCACCTCAAATTCAAACTAATGCGCCTGAGGAGATTCCAGAAATTAATCAAAAAGAAGAAGTATGTAAAATTAAAGGCTATAAACGAAAAATTATGTGTTTTGTTTAATTTTAGGTTTTAAAGGAAGAAAAAGGTATCCGTCATCGTTCGAAGGTGAACACGCTCCAGAAAGGAATCTAGCCGATATTTTAGATATTCCACCGTTAGAAGCAACGGACGATGAGGGTAAGCGAAAAAAATGCTTAACGTTTTGAAAGTTTATCTCTTCCGTCGTCGGAAGCGAAAAAAATACAAGGAATAAAGAAAAACTATTTAAATGCAACTATTAGAGAACACTTTAGTTTTTTTTTAAACAGATACGTCTACAAAAACCGTTGACGTTCTGTTAAAAGAACATTATAATATAAAGTTAAACTTCAAAATTAACAATTACTACCTGATAACAATTACTTAATAAGGTAAAACCAAAAGCCTCAAACTTTCCGTATAGTCTATAAAATGAATTACTTTGAATTTTGACCGTTATTTTTTTTACCAACATGGCAAATATAAAATCCTCTGTCAAAAAGTTACCGATATTCTTTAAATTGAGTGCCTGAACGAATCAGATAGGTAACTCTTTTTACTTTCGTGAAATAGAAAAGGAAATTATAAAACAAGTGACAGTTCTTCCTCTTCTTGCAAAAATCAACACGAAATAATTGTCAAAAGTAAAATGTCATCAGCTTTTGACATTTCTAAATATCAGACCAATGCCGTCTCTAATAGAACAGCCTCGGAGCGAGATTTATGACGTCACGCTAGTTGGATACTACGGATTAATAAATATGCTGTAGAATACATGGAAAACATAATTATTCCTCGTATTTTTGGTTTGTATTTAAAAATAATAATAATAATACTTATATGTAATAATTTACATATAAAATTACAGCGATCTTTATTTCGTAGCCATCGCTGACGCCTTTTGTCTGTGATATTGTATTATCTGCAAATATAATTTTTCGAACATTGATACTTGCAAAATATACATATAAATTTTGTGAATGCAAATAATAATACATCACTATTAGTAGATATTGAATGTTTTTTGTTAAATTTGATCGATTTTCAAACCCCAAAATTTAAAATATAGTTTACATTTTACCCATTATCTTATGTACCTATTCATGATTTGTATATTGTAAAACATTTGCTGCATTTGTATAGTTCATAGTTAATTTGCCAAAGTATTTATTACTACTTACTTATTACTACTTACTACTTATTACTATTACTCTTACTATAAATAGGTATATATATATATATATATATATATATATATATATATATATATATATATATATATATATATATATATATATATATATATATATATATATATATATTGTATTTATTAACTGTATATTATGTATATTTCATGTAGACTATATCATTTTTAAAATACAAACCAAAAATACGAGGAAGAATTGTGATTTCCATGTTTTCTACAACATATTTATTAATCCGTAGTATCTAACTAGCGTGACGTCGCAAATCTCGCTCCGAGGCTGTTCTATTAGAGACGGCATTGCGTCAGCATGGCCGCAAGTTGCTAACCTAATAAAGTTAACACTAGAAAAGCCCGCGGTAACTGTCAAATTCAAAGTTATTCGTTTCACAGACTATATGATTATGTATAATTTGTTTTTAATTTTTACGTATGTTACGTTTAATAATGTTATGTTCTTTAAAATCAAAGAAGCGATTGCCATACATTACTAACGTCTACAGATGCATGAGCAATACATTTATTTTTATTAGATTGTATTAAAAAAGCCTCTTGTATTTTTCTTTTAGAGGCTATCGCTTCTTTCATTATAATTTTGGCATCGTTAAAATCTTTTCTGTGCCCTGTGTATCATGAATGCTGACAAATCTTAGATTTGTGAAAGTCGCCCTTTCATAAATAATCTTTATGTTCTTTGATTCGACCATTTAAGGGTCTAGATGTTTCACCAATATAAAATTTATCGCATTCACATGGTATTTTTAAATATCTAAATATTTTATTAAAAATGTTTCTATAGAGATGTGCAAAAAATTCACTACCTATAGTCTGTCCATCGTATGGAGGGTGGCGATAAAGAGAATCATCGTTTATGTGACTTTGTTATAAATAACGTGAAGTTGGTCAAAAAAGAGAAGCAACGCGTCAGAAATGGCATATTTATCTATCCTTTTTTAATTATTTCCTGTTCTAAAAATTTTTGGTGCTTCTTTCAAATGTAGACCTTTTGCTACAGCAGCGCCATCACAATTTTTTCCTCTTTAGATAATAATACTTCTTACATCTACCCACCATAGTTCTACGATAGAGAATCCGTAACACAAACCATCCACAAATGACACACAGTTGTGTCTGTCATTTGTGGATGTCATCTGTCGAAATCTTTCCTGACTCGTTGAACAGACTATACCTGTAATAAAAGTAGCAATTCACGGCTTTTAACAATTTAAAAAATAAATTTAATGCTTGATGTACTCTTTCTTTTGTTCTTTTTATTCAATTTTATGCAATATTCTCAAATATACTTTCTTTTTTTATTTCCAAACAATTTTTAAACATTTCCTATGCTATTCTCGTTGCTTTAGGCCACGACATACCCCCAGTTCAAGCTCAAAACAACACAGTTGAGTTAAACGAAGCCACCGATCTTAATGATTCCGGAGACGGTTTGATTCTTAACGATACGTCCAGTTATGAAGCAATGGAAGTCGATGGTATAACAACAAACATAGAGGCCGAACCGATTCAGCAAAATAGTCAAGTTGTCGAAATCACCAAGGTATTACTCTTTTTTTATAGTTTACAGAAATAAAGTTATTTTTTGTTAATAATCTCACAATTACTAAAATTTACCAAAAATAAATCAATTGAAAAGTGTAAAAATATGATGATTTAATATGAGGTTTTGAGACATCATTTATATATAACTGAAATCTTTTATAGGATGAAGTATATACCCAGTCCTGTTCAGAAACTGATAATAGCGCATCACTAGAACAGCACTCTTCAGAAGAATATGCTTCGCTAGATCAAGCATCATTAGAGCACCACGCATCATCAGAGCAACTGTCACTAGAAAACCACGCTTCATTAGAACAAGTATCGATAGAACAGCCACATGCTTCGTTAGAACAGCACCAATCAGAAGAACACCCATCCTTAGAAGGACTTTCTATAGAGTCGCAACCCGACAAATCTCTAGAAGAGTCAAATGTACAAACAGACAGCTTTATAAGCCAGGAGGAAAATCAAAACGCATCCAATGAGCTACTATCAAATGTTGAGCATCAGTTTGCCAGTGAAATCTGTTCAGAAATACAGGAAACCAAAGAGAATGAAAATTGCCAGATGGAGAATGAAAATAACGAAAACGTGGAGGCCGAACAGTTTCAGGAAAACGCAACCTTGGAACAGATTCAACACAACGCAGCATCAGAACAGATTCATGAAAATGTCGACCTGGAACAGATTCACGAAAACGTAGACCTGGAACAGATTCATGAAAATGCCGATCCGGAACAGGTTCACGAAAATATAGACACGGAACAAATTCATGAAAATATTGACACAGAACAGACTAATGAAAGTTTAGATACAGAACAGATTCATGAAAATCTAGAATCTGAACAGATTCAGCAAAATATGGAACAGGAACATATTCAGCAAAACGACAATAGTATTCAGTCGCATTTTGAGGATTTCACTGACGAGTCTCAGCAGAGTTCCAGTCAGAAAGTGCTGAGGAATCTGAATAAGGAGATATTGGACGATTGGGACGATACGGACAGTCAGCAAAGTCAGAGGAGTCGAGAGTGTGTGCTACAGGACGAGCAGACGAGTATAGATCAAGATTCAAACCATGTTGTGAATGGTAAGTGATATCAATAATTTTCTAGTATTTTTTTAACACAATTGTTCTTATAGTTTAGTTAATATTTTTTCCGATTTCAGTTTACTAATATAGTTCCCATACAAGGTGTTTCACAAATAAGGGCAAGTATTTTAATAGGTGGTAGATCTCGATAAAAGAAACATATTTTCTCTTTATGGTTTAGTTTTAAGTTTTGGAGTCATTTATTTTACTTTGAAAATTTCCAAAAATATGATTTTTTGCTCAAATTTTGAGAACCACTGGATCTTTTCTGGATTTTCTTTCTTGTAAATTTAATCTACTACCTATGTTGCCATATTATCAAGAAATTATGTTTTTTAACTAAAAACTAAAAAAAAATTGCAAAAAATTTTTCAAAAAATTCGCGAAAAAAACCTCATAGGCGTGTTTCTGGGGTTGAACTATACTATACCAGTTAAAATACTTGCACTTATTTCTGGGATACCTTGTATAATATTTTCTCTCATTTACATGGTGTTGATTGTAGATTGTTATAGGAGGGGGTATGAGTTAATCACCGCGACCTTATAGACATTCTTGAGATCAAGCACGTAAAAAACTATTTTTTACAGGAAAAAAATATTTGTTACACATAAAAATACGATTTTTATGCGTAAAAACTACTTGTTACACGTAAAAATCTATTTTTACACATAAAAAACTATCTGTTACACGTAAAAAAATATTTGTTACACGCAAAAGAAACTATTTTTGACAGACAAAAAATTATTTTTTACGCGTAAAGCTATTTGTTCAACGTAAAAAACAATTTTTTACATGCAAAAAAACAATTTTTACATGAAAAAAAACTATTTTTTATTCGTAAAGAACTATTTTTTACGCGTAAAAAACTTTTACCTAAAAAAATATTTACCTACAAAAAAAAACATTGTTACAGGTAAAAATCATTTTTTGCACGCAAGAAAAACTATTTTTTTACAGGCAAAAAACTATTTTTTACGCGCAAAAAACTAATTTTTACACGTAAAAAGCTATTTTTTATGCGCAAAAGACTATTTTACGTAAAATATATTTTTTACAGCAAAACTATTTGTTACACGTAAAAAACGATTTTTTATGCGTAAAAACTATTTGTTACACGTAAAAAACGATTTTTTACACGCAAAAAAAAAACAATTTTTTACACATAAAAGCTATTTTTTACACGTAAAAAACTATTTTTAAATGTAAAAAGCGATTTACGCACAAAAAAACTATTTTTACAGGCAAAAAACTATTTTTTACGCGTAAAACCTATTTGTTACAAGTAAAAAACAATTTTTGACACGCAAAAAGTACTATTTTTTATGCGTAAATAGCTATTTGTTGTAGGTAAAAAAAAATATTTTTACATGCCAAGAAACTATTATTTACAAAAAGAAAATATTTTTGACAGACAAAAAACTATTTTTTACGCGTAAAGCTATTTGTTCAACGTAAAAAACAATTTTTTACATGCAAAAAAACTATTTTTTATTCGTAAAGAACTATTTTTTACGCGTAAAAAACTGTTTTACCTAAAAAAATATTTTTTTCACAAAAAAAAACATTGTTACAGGTAAAAATCGTTTTTTGCACGCAAGAAAAACTATTTTTTTACAGTCAAAAAACTATTTTTTACGCGCAAAAAACTAATTTTTACACGTAAAAAGCTATTTTTTATGCGCAAAAGACTATTTTACGTAAAATATATTTTTTACACCAAAACTATTTGTTACACGTAAAAAACGATTTTTTATGCGTAAAAACTATTTGCTACACGTAAAAAACGATTTTTTACGCGCAAAAAAAATTATTTTTACACATAAAAAGCAATTTTTTACACGTAAAAAACTATTTTTAAATGTAAAAAGCGATTTTTTACGCACAAAAAAACTATTTTTACAGGCAAAAAACTATGTTTTACGCGTAAAAGCTATTTGTTACAAGTAAAAAAACAATTTTTGACACGCAAAAAAGACTATTTTTTATGCGTAAATAGCTATTTGTTATACGTAAAAAAAAGATTTTTAAATGCCAAAAAACTATTATTTACAGACAAAAAACCATTTTTTACGCGTAAAAAACTATTTGTTACACGTAAAAATTTATTTCTTATATGTTTAAAACTATTTTTTCACGTAAAAAACTATTTTACGCGTAAAAAATATTTTCGTAGCTACAGAGTGTAAATTTTTTTCAACTTTGAATGTTTTGCTAGATGATGTTTCTCGAAGGGAATGGATTATGGTTTTCGTGGTGGTTGTCCACTTTTTGATATTCTAGTTTTATTCAGAATTAATATAGGATAATATAGAGAAAAAAACAATTATCTGTTTTATAGAAGCCGTCGAGAATGTCAACAAACTTATGGACGACTGGGACGAAGAAGACGAAGAACAGAGTAAAGACTAAAATCATTTTTTATATAAATTTCGTGTGACTTTATGTTATGGTAGGATATTTTAAATTATAAAAAATCAAATTTAGTTCCTTTTTAAACCTAAAAAATTAACTTGTACATATCTAGAGGTTTACAAAGGACAATTTTCGTCAAAAAAAACTTTTTTAATTCGTTTTAGAACTACTTTATATACAGTTTTAAGTAGCAATGGAGTGATAGAAATTATATTGTGTTTTAAATATTATATAGGTTCAAATATATTGTACATATAATGAGAGTCTTTTTATTGGTTTGTATAGGTAAACTAAATAAGTCTTCGTATATTTTCTAGACTCTTACATTATTTCTCGTTTTGATGTCGAAGCAGTTGAATATTGAGTATTAAATTGGAATTATATTATAGGAGAATTTTTATAAGTGAATTCTAACACATCAGGTAATTTTTATAGAACATATTCGGGCCTTTTTTTCACAAAGGATTTAAAATTTAATAATGGTGTTCAATATTTTCAAAAACACATAAGTGTAAATATTTTTTTTTTGTAAAATCTACACAGAATATTTGTATTTGTAATATTCAGTTTAACTAGATTAAAATACATTTAAAATGTTGTTTTATTTAGCTAACTTCAACCCTTAATCATACATGGGGGTTAAAAAGAATCTTGGATTGGTTTTTGACACTTGACATGATAGTTGGCAACACTGGACACATGTGGCAATGAAGCCTACGATTCAGGTAGTATAACAATAATATTTATCATAGGGAAAAATTAATGGTGTATTATTTACAGGCTATACCGGGTGCGTCTCAAAAGTGGCTCACCCCTATACCTTTTTTATTTTTTCAGTCAAAAAACGAAATTTGGTATGTTAGTGTATGACATAAATTAGGATTGATTGACGTATTCAATTGTTTTTGGTCACTTCCTGTTTCACCGGAAATGACATAAATTTTGATTTTTAAATGGCACTCTCGGTATTTTTTACTTTATTCGATAGAAAATAACACTCTGAATAGAATGACATATCATATGTCAACTTTTGACATTTTCTGATATGGTTTATTTAAAATTATAACTTTCGTCTCGAAAAACCAAGTGTGTGGTATCAAATTATTGATAAAAAAATACTTTTTCCAAATATGCTAATGAGCCACCCTCGTTCCATTTGAAAAAATAGATATATGATTAAAAATACGATTTGAGCATTTTCTAACTGGCCAGGATAAGATACTAAAAACATTAGAAGATCAAATCTATTTTTCCAAGGCTCCTTGATTAAGAACTATTCTTTTAAACATAGCCACGGCACTCTAGATTTAATTTTAAAATATGATTTTTTATTAAAGGAGAATGTCAAAAGTTGACATATGATATGTCATTCTATTCAGAATGTCATTTTCTATCGATTAAAGTTAAAAAATACCGAGGGTGCCATTTAAAAATCAAAAGTTGTAGTCATTTCCGTTGAAACAGGAAGTGACCAAAAACAATTGAATACGTCAATCAATCTTGATTTATGTCATATACTAAAATACCAAATCTCTTTTTTTTATCTGAAAAAATAAAAAAGTTATAGGGGTGAGCCACTTTTGAGACGCACCCGGTAGATTTTAATGACGGTTACGTTTTAATTTTGATTACAGGGTGTTTCGAAAAACGTGTTCCATGTTAAAATAAGATTTATTTTTTTATATCGATGTAGGTCCCAGTTTGCTTTGGTTCGTAGCTACAGGGGGTTAATTCCTGCGTTTTTTTTTCAATTTGTTATAATTTTCTTCCAAGTGCTTTTAGCAATTCGAATGAAATTTTGAGGGCAAAAGTTACTATAATTTCTGCATATTTTATTGCTAAAAAAGTATCGACAGATTCACCAAAAGTGTGTTCACCATTGATGTGAATATGTTGACACTTTGTTAGCATTAAAATATGACGCACTTATAGTGTAACTTTTACCCTCAAAATTTCGTTCCAATTGCTAAAAACACTTGGAAGAAAATTATAATAAATCGAAAAAAAATAAGACTTTAATCTCTTGTAGCGACGAAATAGAGCAGAATAAGAAATAAATCTTATTTTTACATGACGAGTCTCCCCTCGAGAGATGTCACGTTTTTTGAAACACCTTGTATGCAAGGAAAGGAACAAATAACAAAAAATAGTTTAATCGAGATAAATAATTTATTGGCAGTTTTTATATTACAATTTGTATAAAATTATCCTTATTTGGTAAATATAAATGTTATAAACAAGGAATCGTCTCTGTTCGAATATATTATTCAAATATAAATAAGTTATTTACAATAAATAAGTTGATTATTCTGACCAGAAATACTCGTATTATTAAAACACAGGCAAAGAAAAACTTAAGAAATATACAACAAAAATATTTGCATTTTTTAATATACAATACATATATCTTGATTTATATAGGGTGTTCTGTTTTCTAGAACATCCCATACAGATTTTAAGCGAGAAATTAATTTTTTTACAAAATTTCTAAAAATGTTTCACATTACGAAATTGCACAAATACCGCGTATAAAAAGCTGCGTTCACAAATATTTGTATATTTCTCAAAATATATTTACTCTCACATCGAAACTACCAAGAGTCAACATTCAACAAATCTTTTATAGTTTTGCCAAAGTTGATATGTTAGCCCTAGGTAACACATTAAAAAGTTAGGTAAAAAATTTAAGCACTTGGTTATAGTCACTGTGTTATTTTTTTTTATTATTACTGAAATAGTACTCATTTTTTTAGGGGTTAAGTATTTTCAATCCTATTATGAAGTCGTACTGGCTAGGTATGGTAAAAATTTTGCGATTCATTTCAGCAGCACCTGGTAGAATGTCGATGTACAGGGTGTGGTATGTTTTAGTGTTTTATAGGGTTTCTCGTTTATGAGTAGATTGCATAGATGCTACACACAGATTTGTCATAGCCTTCTTAGTTCCTGAAATACAGGGCGAAAATATTGCATTTTGCGGCCCCTTTTGTATCTTGGTAATTTTAGAAAAATTAAAAATATATACAGTGTATCCCATTTAAGGTATTTGGGAAGGTGGTAAAACTCTATGGAACTGAGTTACTAGACATCTGATATAAGAAGGGAGTCAAAAAATGCAATAATATCAAATTCACCCTTTATTTCAGAAACTAAGAAGGCTAGGACAAATATATTAGTGTAGTATCTTTAATTTCACAAAAAAAGTAGTACAATGCATCTTTGTATCTGTACTCATTGTAACACAACGAAACTGGGACACCCTGTATAACGAAATTCTACCAGCTGCTGCAGATTCATTTTAAAATATACAGAACACACATCAATTTCATTTTAATATAAGCAAAAAGCCTCTTTTTTTACTAAATAAATAATACGGAAAAAACAATCCTGGTTATCAAAAACATATTTTATAGTTAATTTTAATTCTAATTTGATTTATCACGTCTGGGGATTGGCGTTTTTATTTTATTTCTTCTATTCTTAGTAGACGTTTACGGCACGTGTGTTGATATTTTAGTACCTTTTGATTTTCAATAGAGCATTATATTTACTTTTGAAGAAAAACTAACAGAACTGTAGTAAAAACTGAACAGGGCCCATTCGTTTGAGACCAGACTAGTTCTCTACTGACGCTTGACTGACTACTCGACTTGAAAGCGTGGGTGTATTCAGAGACAACCAGAGAAAACATTATACCATACGATCGAGAAAAAAAACGGCATCAAAGGAGGCTGCGGAATGACAATCGATAATAAATTTAATCTTTTTCTTTTTTAATTTTTCAAAAATAATTAGTGTTATTGACCCGGCTAAAATTATCGATTGCCATACTCCAGTCGTATTTGACACCGTTTTTTTTCTCTATCATACAGTATATGTTTCGATTCGGGGAAGGTCCACTGTCCATGGACGTTTGCAGTACTCCTGGTTGCTGTTTCCATGTATAGTACGAGATAGCTCTTTGATATATCTTTTGCTATGCTCTCTGGAACAGCGTGCGAGTCGTCTGGCTGCCGATAGACGTTGCGTTCACTACTGCGCATTGAAAGAAGATCCTATATATAGTTTTTTATTTAGTCCTTTAAATTCTACTATTGAATATAAATCGAACAAGGCTCCATAGCGTGGCGCGAAAACGTTCCGCCCATAAAGTGAGAAGTCCCGAATAATTCTGGTGATTAAAAAAACAATTATTTAATACTTTACTATCAGAATATAAACGAAAAAATAAAAAAGTTTACCCCTAGCCGGTATTGAACTCGGGACTTCTCGCTTTATAGGCGGAGCGTTTTCGCGCCGCGCTATACAGGGTGTCTCAGAAATAAGTGCAAGTATTTTAACTGCTAGTATAGTTCAATTTCATGAGGTTTTTTTCGCGAAAAAAAAATGAAAATTCGGAATTTTATGAAAAAATATTTGGAAATTTTTTTATCTTTTAGTTAAAAAACATAATTTCTTGATGATATGGCAACGTAGGTAGTAGATTAAATTTACAAGAAAGAAAATCCAAAAAAGATTCAGCGGTTCTCAAAATTTTAGCAAAAAATATTTTTTTTTGGAAATAACTCCGTTATTTTGACTTATTTGAAAAAAGATAAAGAGAAAATATGTTACTTTTGTCGAGATCTGCCACCCCTTAAAATACTTGCACTTATTTGTGGGACACCCTGTATATGGAGACTTGGGTAATTTATATTCAATACTATTTAATGGACTGAATAAAAACAAATATATAGGATCTTCTTTCAATGCGCAGTAGTGAACGCCAAGGGCGTAGATAAGGGGGGGGGGTACTGGGGGACAGTACCCCCCCCCCTGACGCTTGACGAGATACGAGAATTGAAATAGTCATTGGCTATGAAAGGATTTTTTTAAATTAATATCCGATATATAAGAACACTTTGTATGCTTTTAATTATGTTGATTTATCGTTTATAATATGTTCGACCTAATTAAAAGCATACAAAGTGTTCTTATTGGCCAGGACAGATTAGTGGGGTTAACTCTAATCAATATCCATAAAGATATTGAAATAAATGTTAATGCTGTTATTGATAGGTTTTCCAAACAGCGTACTAGAAAACTTGATTTTGTTTTGTAGTTTTATTTATAGTTTATAGTTTTTATAGTTTTTTTGATAGTTTAGAGTTTTTTATTTAAAGTTTATAGAAAATTAACTAATAAACGTCGTTGTTTCGTTTTTGTTTATGTTATTTACAAATCTATATTTTAATTTAGTTATTAGTTATGTTTTTATATCTTTTTGAAGACAAAAAAATCGCCGTCCTTTTAATTCGACAAAAAAATTCCGACGGTGATTTTTTTTGCGACTTAATCATAGTACTACCCCCATAGCATACACCTATCTACGCCCCTGGTGAACGTAACGTCTATCGGCAGCCAGACGACTAGCACGCTGTTCCAGAGCCTTTCTCGAAAACGTTGCTAGCTCTTAGGTTAGTACGCTTGCAATACGCTTCGTGGACAGAGTTTAGTACGCTAGACTACACAAGCTGCACGGCTTATTTTGAAGCTTCAAAATTATCCTCCGTGGACAGCGGGCCTAAATCTCCGACCACACCCATTTATTCACCCCATCTCTTACGACACACTCTCCGTGCCAGCATTACCCCCGTGCATCGCGTTCGAGTCCAAACTATTACAATCCGAGTCATTCGAGTGCGGACTAGAGTAATTAGCCGCCTCCTGCAGCCGCATCAGCATGTTCAACAAAGGATCGCCCTCGTTCTCCGCCTGCGCGCTGGAGTTGCTCTCCAGCCCTACGTCCTTGGCCGGGATGGTGGTCAGGCCCTGGGGAGGAGCTCCAGGCCAGGGGTACGTATCGAGGATGAACTGCGTGGGATCCGTCCAGGGTGCGCGGCGGCCGTAGAGCTGAAGGCCTTCGCGCGCGGCCTCTCGCAGGTAGGGGGCCAGGGAGTAGTTCCAGACGTCGGCGAACCAGGCGCGGGCCGCGTCCAGTTCCAGGGGACAACCTGGAAAAGAAAGGAGTAAGTTCGAATGTGGTAGACGATGAGTCAGCAATTGAAACTAAATAAAGAATAGTATATTGTTTTATTAGGAGTAAAATTATTGATGCTTTTATGATGACGACGTTAAGTTATAGTTTATTTTATTACTAGTATACAGGGTGGTCCGAACTGTATTCCGAAAACTTGTCTTAAAATGCCTAGTTTCGAAGATACATGATGTAGAAGTTTTATTTTTATTTCGATTTTTTCCAAATAATTTCTGAAGTAACATCAATATTTGGATGAAAATTGGTGTCTGGCTGTTTTCTGACATGAGAAATTTGATTTTGATGTCAATATAACTCCTATATGTACAGGGCGCCACCTACATGCGTTTTAACTTGTTTGAAGAGTAATAACTTTTCGTCCGTACCTGTATAAAACTACTGAGTGAAAAAATATACATTTATCTACGTCGGTGAGTTAAGAAGCTCTTAACTCCGGCATTCTGAGTAAGTTAAAAGCTTCTTAACTCTATTTGACTGAAATGTTAAATTTAGGAACAATTTATTTTTTCTTTTAAATTAATCATAAATATTTCTTCAAAAAAATGATGATATAACAGTTTCTATCGAACTTTTGGCACAAAAACATTTCAAATTTATTATTTCAGTCTGATAACTATTTAGTCAACATGTTTAATTTATGTCAATGATGACAGATATTGATAATTTTGATTCCAAATATTTCGAGATACATTATTCGTAGCGATTTTTACCAAGATACTTTTTTTACGTAAAAAACGTCGTAAATGCATCTTTTTAATCAGTTTTATACAGGTACGGACGAAAAGTTACTACTTGTCAAAGCAGTTAAAAAATATGTAGGTGGTGCCCTCTACAAGGAGTCATATTGACATCAAAATCAAATGCCAAAACAACTCCCAGACACCAATTTTCATCCAAATATTTACGTTATTTCAGAAATTATATGGAAAAAATCGAAATAAAATTGAAACTTCTACACCCTGTATCTCTGAAACTACGTGTTTTAGGACATACATTTATACGAACTTTTTTAATTATTTTTAGCCGCAGAATATGCCGCCGAAATTTCCGGAATACAGGTCCGTCCACCCTGTATAAAATTAGTATAACAGTACATATAAAATACCGAAAAAAAATGGTATCAAAGACGGCTCGGGAATGTCAATCGACGAAAACTTGTCAAAAATTAATACTAATTATAGAAAAATTAATAGTTAAAAAATAAATCAACAGCCGTTTTCGACACTGTTTTTTTTTTCAATCGTATTGTATTACTACTATTATTATACATTTCCTACCACAGACAACTTACTCAAAAATAATCTTGGTCCAATGGCAACGTCTCCGCTGCTGTGCGTTTCCAAAAAGGCGTTTAAGTGTTGCCATACCCTGGGCAACCAGCCTAAAATAGCGGCTAGTTCAGGCTGAGGCCCTTGTTCCAGTTCTAGGGAAGCCAGACGACGTCTCAACACGCGCCCTAGCAGACCCCTGGCTGGTTCCATATGGGGTGCCACCAGAACCCACCTATAATAAAAGAGGAAATATCCATTAATGTGATACCTAAATCTTTTTTTTTTCGTTTCTAACGTAATCTCAACTTACCTAAAACCGTGTTGAAGTTGTAGACTAGTGGCCGAACACGCACTTTGAGCCATGGTTCCTAACAAACAGGGTAGGTTCCTAGGTAAGCTTCCCAGCGCATCCGCCAGAGGTCCAGCTTTGTGTAGATTGTCAAGAACGACCACGCAAGGCAAAACGTTTGTATCGCCCGACGCTGCTTGCTCTGATAGGTGTTGAAGGTACTGACGAAGTTCTTTAGCTGACTTATTATCCACACTGGAAAAATAAAGATTAAAACACTAGTTTCAAGACGTTATAGACTGCCTAACGGTACAGTTGTCTAAAAATACACTGAGAGCCAACTTACTTGAATGTAGCCACGGCCTCTTGCGGATCTCTTCCTAAACTTTGAGCGTGGAATTCGGCAAGTCGAGTCGCTAGATGTGTCTTCCCCGTTCCCGGAGCTCCACAAAGTACCAATCTTCTGTGTTCCGCAAGGAGGGATACAAGACGCTGAGCAACGCCTTTAGGAATTAGCGTTTCGAACGCTAGAGCAGCTACTGGTTGCAGAACCTTAAAAGAAAAGACCATTACGTTAGAACTTAAATAATCACCTTGATACTCTTTTACTTGATAATAACGGTAAGCCATCTTTTTCTTGTTCTTATTGGTAGTAATAATAAGAATTTTTGAAATTTAGATCTGATGAAATAGAACTACAATATCTAATTAAACTTTCATTTCTTGTTCTTATTTTTCATTACAACTCCTTGTAAAATTGTTGTTGACTAATACAGTATTATAGATGGCATTTGAGCGAAACTTATTATTAAGAATTATTTCTTATAGTTTTAGATTTAGTCTGTCCAACGACTCAGGGAAGATTTCGGCAGATGGCATAAAACAATGGCAGAAAATACAATTTGATTGGGAACTAAAATGACAGACACAAAACAGTTAACTGTCACTGGATTCTCTCATTGGAAATACTATGGCGATATCAAATATACTATCGTTAACATTTGATAACTAGAGTAAAACATAGTTTAAATAAAAATGCGAATCAGATCCAGTTTAGTTATGTCTTCTTGATATAGTAACTTTGATTATCTTGATATAGTAGGTATACTCTTATAACTTGTTGTTTAACTTCTTTTCTTATAACTTGACATAGTATTGTCAGAAAAAGTTTCGTAAGTCACTGATAACTAAAGTAAAATATACTTTAAACAAATGCGAATCCTATCCAGCTTAGTTATGTCTGTTTTCTGATATAGTTTCAAACTTTTTTATTAATTGGTTCTCTTATAAGTCGTTTAAAAGCTTGGAACACCCGCAAAAGTTCAACTTTTGCGGGTGTCAACAAAAATTCCACTTCTCCTTCAACAAAAATTCCACTTCTCCAACTCCCATGGATAACATACCAAGTATGTAGAACTTTGAGAAATACTTCTCTATTACACGCCGTATAAAGTAATGAATATTCAATACACTTACCACGTGCACAGTCGAGACTCTACCAATGGCGTAGCCCACGGGCAGCAAATCCGGAGGTCCAGCCTCCGGTTTCCTCTCAGCCTCTCCCAGTTTGTAACTGGCAATAGAGTCGCTGCCAAGTCCTAAACCTCCTCCCGGATCCAACCTGGCCACGTACTGTTTGAACGCCCTCCTCACCGCGTTGTCCAGCTGAGCCCACGAAGTGGAAGCTCCGATGGTCGTGTATGCCACTGGTAGTTCCGTCGTTCCGGTGTTACTGCTGCCTTTGCCGTCGTACCCGTAGTGTTCACAGTAATACCTGTTGATATAGAGATGATTTATAACTAGTGACGATTTTATTCATATAAACTTTCTAGCAAAAAAAAATGTTATGTTAAGCATACGGTTTTCTGTTTCATAATCTTGGCAGATGAATTATATTATGTATTAATTGTATTTTATATTTTGCATATGATAAGGGCTGGCAAAGGTTAATCTTGGGTCGAGATTTCCGTGTTGAAGAAGAGTACAATGCGTTTATAATGTACTGAACAAAGAGAGAACAGTAAAAACGTTGCCAAACGTACGAAATAAACCGAGAAACTGTGCACATTGCTAAGAGACGTGGAAGGGGATATAGCAGATTCGTCGCGATCGACCGGTCGACCAAATCAGTACTTAAAATTCTAGGAAAGTGTGTACAGTGTGTGTCTAGTTATCTTTTTGAAAAAAAAATCTTTTAAAAATATGCGGTTTGCGATCGTGATTTTACTTTATATACTTGATAGGGAAAGGGCGTACCGGAGAAATGTGACAACGGCGCAACAGCACACCGTCGCATTTCTCTCACTCCGACTTAATAAGATCCCTATGCGATTTACTTCCACATATGTAAATACCGACCCAAAAGTAAGAGTTGCCAGCACGGTATGCAAAATATAGATACTCTCGTACCTACCTTTCAAAACTTTGAGGTTGGCCAAGATACACCGAGATCGCTATCCTCTTCCCGTCGTTCTCCACCTCGGGAGGCGGTTCCTCCGTCGGTATGAGGTCGCTGAGCGCGTCCAAGGAACTACTCGACCTCGTCTCCAAGGCCAGGTCGGTGGGGAGGTTAGGCGTACCGGTGACCATCCGCTGCAGCCTCTCGTTGTTCTGTTTCAGGCTCAGCATCTCGCTACGCATCTTCATCACAGTATCCTGAAACATTAGAATTATCCATAGACTTAAAATAAAATATAGACTGAGCATCTCATTCATAAATAGCTGGAACATGCGGTCAGACACTGTCTTGTTATTGTTGTGTTATTGTTTTAGGTTATAACGAGTGCGACACGAGCGATAGATAGGTTGTCTCTGTCGTAACGGTCGTTCCCTGACGACTCTGCCGAGAAACACAACACTGTCTTTCGTTTCTCAAGTACACCTGAACTCTCCGTATCATAGCCGGGTAATTTTTTGATTTTAATGAAGCTATAATTAAATTAAAAAATATATCGTATTTAAACTTTTTTATATTTTATTAAGATTTAGGACAGGTTTTTAAATAAAAACTTTAGAAAAACAATTTAGAGTCCAAAAGGATAAAAAATAATAAAATACACGTTATAGAAGAAATTTTATAATCGAAATTAGGTAATTTTTGAAATTAATAATAAATTATTAATTTTAGTCAAACATTTACAACCCCTAATATTAATCAAAACAGGATCTATTCCACAGATATAATAGAATCGGCGACAGGGAGAGAAAAAAATATGATTGTTGTAATTTTTTTTTTGGTTAAGTGATGTCTTATTATGTAAATTAGAGAAAACATAAATCTGTTCCATTAAAGCAAGGAAGGTGATAGGAAGTGGATAAAATAAAAACTACATTTATTTAACTCGGTACTGTCTTTATTATACCGGGTGCGTCTCAAAAGTGGAAATTTTCAAATAAAAAAACAAGATTTAGTATGTTAGTATATGAAATAAATTAGGATTGATTGACGCATTCAATTGTTTTTGGTCACTTCCTGTTTCACCGGAAATGACTATAACTTTTAATTTTTAAACGGCACCCTCGGTATATTTCTACTTTATTCGATAGAAAATGACACTCTGAATAGAATGACATATGATATGTCAACTTTTGACATTTTCGCATATGGTTTAACTGTAATTGTAACATGCGGTTCATAACGACAATTTGACTCGAAATACCAAGTGTGTGGTATCAATATATTCATAAAAAAATGCTTTTTCCAAATATGCTAATGAGTCACCCTTGTTCCATTTGAAAAAATTGACATATGTATGATTAAAAATACGATTTGTACATCTTTTAACCGGCCTAGACAAGACACGAAACCTATTAGACGATCAAAACTATTTTCCAAGGCTCCTTGATTAAAACTTAGTGGATTGAAAAAAACTGGATTGAAATTTAAAATAGAATATGTTTTTAAGCGACAATGTCAAAAGTTGACATATGATATGTCATTCTATTCAGAGTGTCATTTTTTATCGAATAAAGTAGCAATATACCGAGGGTGCATTTAAAAATCAAAAGATGTAATCATTTCGGTGAAACAGGAAGAGACCAAAAACAATTGAATACGTCAATAAATCCTAATTTATGTCATATACCTATTAACATACAAATCTGTTTTTTTATCTGAAAAAATAAAAAAAAGTTATAGGGTTGAGCCACTTTTGAGACGATCCGGTATATTAAAAAATATTGTTTCATAATGTAATATCATTTTAAAATTCTTGTATGTTATTTTAGATTCTGAAGATAATTTTAGAATAAACCGGAATATATTTTTAATAAAAACATTATTAATTATTAACAGGTTTATAATTATGATTTTGTTACAATGTAAGTAAGTAAATAATGTAATGTAAAAGAAAAAATTTTACATTTTACTAAAATATTATCTAAATAAGCGCCTTTCTACAACAACGCCACTGACTGCCAATGGGTAAATTGAGAATTGCCTACCGGTCAAAAGTCGTTTCAAGACTTAAATGGATTATTTAAGTCAAATTTCTTGCAAATTTGGCACTGGCGAACCATATTTTATAGTTTTTGAACAGAAAAAGCCAATAAAATAAACACTTAAGGACTACAAGCTAAGAAAATGCGTTAATACAGTCGGGGAGATAGCGGCAACAAAGCTTTACCGCACACGTGCGACACGTACTACAAGGTAATAAATGAATGAATAGGCTCCCTCGCCTCTAATCGGTGTTGTCATATTGTAAAGAACTTATCCTTATTAAACAGTGTCCGACTTATAATTTAGTAGTATAAGGACTATTTAATACATCTATGGAATATTAAGACCTACTTTATTAAACTGTAGTATTAATATCTCAATATATGTGTATAACAAGAAAAAAAATATTGATAATATTAAAGAGGTGACAACATAGGCTGGATGAGAAAGGCTCGGTCGACTGTATCCAGAAGTAAACATGTGTACAAAAAAGGTTGTTTGTCCGCGTTGAGATGTAAATAGTGTAGTCTATATTTTATTTTAAGTCTATGGAATTATCTCATTAAAATCTATACTAATATATAAAATCCTTAAGTGACTGACTCACTGATTAATCACGATCCTGCTCAAACCACTCAACGTAAGAAGCTCAATTTTGGCATACAGGTTGATTCTAGGGTGTAGAGGTTCGATAAGAAGGGATTTTACGAAATTCCAGTTCCAAGGGGGTGAAACCACCCCTCAAATATTACAATATTTTTTATTTAAAAAACGGCCAAGTTTCCGAAAAAACGCTTAAACGCGCATATTTTATTTTGTTTTTTTACATATTTTAAGATTTTTAAAAATATATACAGGGTGGTTCGAAAAATCTGGTCATTGATTAATCACGATCCGGCTTAAAGCGCTTGACGTAAAAAGCTGATTTTTGGAAAATGGATTGACTTTAGTGTGTAGGTTCGATAAGAAGAGATTTTTCGAAACTCGAATTCTAAGGGGGTGAAACCACCCCTCAAATTTCTTACAGGTTATCACTGGAATATTAGAGTATTTTTTATTTAAAAACTTCTGAGTTTTTCGGAAAAAACTCTTAAACACGTATATTTTATTTTGTTGTTTTACATATTTTAAGATTTTTTAAAAATTTATACATGGTGTTTCATAAAATATGACCATTTAGTAATCACGATTCTGCTTAAACTGCTTGACGTTTAAAGCTGATTTGTGGTAACCGGATTGAATGTGGGGTGTAGAGGTTCGATAAGGAGGGGTTTCTCGAATCTCAAATTCCAAGAGGGTGAAAACGCCCCTTAAATATTACAATATTTGTTATTTAAAAAACGGTTAGTCTTTAGGGAAAACGCTTGGACACCCAGAATTTCTTTTGTTTTTTTACATATTTTTAATTTTTTTTAAAAATCATACAGGGTGTTCCAAAAAGTTTAAATGATTAATTCGACACGAACGAAGTCGCGGGTACACACTAGTTGTCTATATAAGACAATTCGCGACTTACTTTTAGGCTTTCTAGCTGATGGGCTGAGCTCAGAGCTTCCAATCTGATGTCGGTCAATACCAGATCTTTTTCCCTGAGCTGTTTCTGGAGTTCCGCCACTTCCTGTCCTTGGTCTATGGGCGCGGGAGGTGGAGGACTGTGCTGTCTGTCACTTTCGCCTTCGCTGTGACTTGACTGAACCTGCAAGGAGTCGACAGTCAAGATACATTTGACACTTATTTATGTATAAAGTTGTTGGAAATTATTCAAAAATTAGCTACGCACTTTGGTAACTTTCGCGTTCCTGGAGAACGCTTTGGTAAAGCTGCTCCTCAGCCATCCTTTCTTCTTCTTCTTTTCCTGTTTGTCGACGGAACAGGCCGAAGACAGACTGGACACGCTGTCCGAGGACGGTTGTCTGGCCAGGCTGGACCCGATCCCGGCCTGGATGCTCTGCGCCCTGAGGGACTCCATGGCCTGGCGCAGTTCTTGCAGTTCGCTATCCTGAAAAAGAACAGAAGAGTCATTTAACACGACTATTGGAATAAAGAATACAAAGAAAATGTACATGTAATTCCAACAGTGAGGCACCCCTCGTTTGTCGATATACAGGGTGTTTCAAAAAACATGTGCCTTCTCTCGTGAGAAGATTCCCCACGTAAAAATAAGATTTATTTTTCATATCAACACTAGGTCCGATTTTGCTTTGTTTCATAGCTACAGGGTGTTAAAGTCTTAATATTTTTTCGATTTACTATAATTTTCTTCCAAGTATTTTAGTGTTTTGAATGAAATTTTGAGGGTAAAAGTTAATATAAAGGCGACATATTTTAAAGCTAAAAAATATGGGTTATTACTGGAATATTTTTCTAAAAAAAGTATGTACGCTACTGACTTTTTTTTCTCGTGTTAGCGAAATAGTGTAAGCAGTTTAATGCCGATAAGTCTCTTGATATTTTGTTGACTTTGGCCTGCTTGATGAGATAAACGCAATTTTGTTAATTTGCCTTGATCCAAGTCTAATAGCAACCTTTAAAAAAAAATTAATATCATTAACTTGCGGAAGTTTTAAATAAGTACTCATTGATTCCTCATCAAAAAATATGAAAAAAGTTCCTATAAACATAGGTATGAAACTGCATAGTTTTAGAGTTACATGATGTTAAATTTTTTTTAAATTAGGTTTTTTGTAATTATCTTAAAACCATTATTTTTTTATTTGAAATTGCTGTATGTTGAACTAATAATAATAAGAACTAATAGTAATAATATTTAATAATAAATTAGGTAAAATATATAATTATTGTGATTAATAAAATTTCGTTTATCTCATCAACGAGGCCGAATTCGACAATATGAAGAGATAAATTTAAATTGGCATTAAACGGCCTACACAATTTTGATACCAAAAGAAAAAAGTCAGTGGCGCACATGTTTTTTTTTGAAAAAGTTTCCAATTGTACCATATGCACCCATATGTACGTCCCTAATGAATTTATCGACACTTTTTTAGCATTAAAATATGCATAGTCCGTAAAACGAATAACTTTGAATTTGACAGTTCCCGCGGGCTTTTCTAGTGTTAATTTTATTAGGTTAGCAACTTGCGGCCATGCTGACTCAATGCCGTCTCTATTAGAACAGCCTCGGAGCGAGATTTATGACGTCACGCTAGTTAGATACTACAGATTAATAAATATGCTGTAGAATACATGGAAAACATATATATTCCTCGTATTTTTGGTTTGTATTTTAAAAATAATATAGTTTACATGAAATATACATAATATACAGTTAATAAATACAATATATATACCTATTTATAGTAATAAATACTTTGGCAAATAAACTATGAACCATACAAATGCAGCAAATGTTTTAAAATATGGCTGAAATCGTACTCCATAGTCAGTGTAGAAAGTTTTTGTGTTAAGAATAATAATTTAAAAAAATATGTGGTCATCTTTTGACAAGTTTATATTAGTTTATTAATTGCAGTAAACATTATAATATATAAATAAATTTTGTGAATGCAAATAATAATACATCACTATTAGTAGATATTGAATGTTTTTTGTTAAATTAGATCGATTTTCAAACCCCAAAATTTAAAATATATTTTACATGTTACGCATTATCTTATGTACCACATTATTTGTATATTGTAAAACATTTGCTGCATTTGTATGGTTCATAGTTTATTTGCCAAAGTATTTATTACTATAAATAGGTATATATTATCTTCTTAATCTAAGTATATTATATTGTATTTATTAACTGTATATTATGTATATTTCATGTAAACTATATCATTTTTAAAATACAAACCAAAAATACGAGGAATAATTATGTTTTCCATGTATTCTACAACATATTTATTAATCCGTAGTATCTAACTAGCGTGACGTCATAAATCTCGCTCTGTGGCTGTTCTATTAGAGACGGCATTGGTCTAATATTTAGAAGTGTCAAAAGCTGATGACATTTTACTTTTGTCAATTATGACATTTCGTGTTGATTTTTGCAAGAAGAGGAAGAACTGTCACTTGTTTTATTATTTTCCTTTTCTATTTCATGAAAGTAAAAAGAGTTACCTATCTGATTCGTTCAGGCACTCAATTTAAAGAATATCAGTAACTTTTTTGACAGTGGGATTTTATATTTGACATGTTGGTAAAAAATAACGGTCAAAATTCAAAGTTATTCATTTTATAGACTATAGCACTTACAGTAACTTCTACACAGCAGTTATATTCGGAGTAAAAATGACTTTTTGTGCCTCCCCTGTAATGTCAAACGTACAGTCTAGCCACAAAAAGTATCATTTTTACTCTTAATAAAACAATATAGTATTAGAGATAATATTTACCTTCTTTTCTGACGTTGCTGTTAGATGTTGTAGCCTTTGCGTCATCGATGTCAAACTCTGTTCAAATGCAGATACTACATGAGCCTGAAAAGAAAAAAAAACGTTATTAAAAAATTTAATAAATTTCATTAATTATAATATTAATAATCGTAAAATATATGCATTTTTCATACCTAATAGGCATTTTGAAGATACATATTTGATTTTTGAAGAATCATTAAAAAAAACTTAATTCGCTATACAAAAATAAAGTTAATGTTCACAATTAAATATTTGAACACACATTTAAATACCTTGTAATTACATTTTTAAGCACTATTAAATACCTTGTAATTACATTTTTAAGCACTAAAATCTGTTAATTTAAATCAACAAACCAGTTCGTAAATTACCTGTTTAATATTCAGAAACTTAAACACTCAATTATTTCTAAGTGGACATTTAAAGATTAAATGGCTTATTGAAAATATTTATTTTTTCATAATACAAAAGCGTTTTAAATGTTTGACAAATAAAATTCTGAGAAATAAATCAAATGCACTATTTTATTTGTTAAAATCGAGGTAAATTTCAAAGTTTACTGCAAAGAGACAATATTTATTTAAAGCTAACAAATACGAAAAACCAAATAAAGTATTTAATTTTCGTTCGTTTTTTATATTAATATCTTCAGTGCATAATTTATTTTTATTAAAATATCAAACATGCTATAAAATTACAATTTTATTATTCTAAAATATTAAACACTAATTGACTTGTTCAGACCGTAAAATTTGAAAGGCATCTCGAAAATATCTGATTCTCCGAAATAGAAAATCGTTAAAAAGAGCCTGCTTGACACATTTACATTTATAATTAATTTTGTTTTATGTGCCTTGCCTAGTATTAAACAAATTCGCTGTTGCTGTTAATATTGTTGTTTTCTACTGCCTCTAATTTTCTTTGTGCTTAAATCATTCTTTAATAATACTAAATCGATAGTAATGGCTGTAAGATATTATATTATTTAGTATTGGCTGATACTATCATATTTGTTTAATTTAACTATCGTATGATCGGAAAAAAACTGCGTCCAGTTGACTTGGAAATGACGATCGATGGCAGTCCCCGTATAATTTTATTGTACATAGAGAATGACAGCGATCTTCGTTTCAAACCCATCACTGACGGTTTTTTTTTGATCATATTGTACTATTTATATTCATGGAATATACAGGGTTATATACCCTGAATTTACGATTTAATGTACAGGGTAATCCTGAAAAACTACTCACGTAATTTATGGACTTATGTTAATTTGTGTTTATCACGTGACGTAATCAGTGGAACTATTATATTTGTTGATGAGATAAATATTTTTCTCTCTATCAAAGTTAATTAGAAAACTGACAAACTTCGATAGATTATGTCACAGGAAACAGGTCTGGCTGTCGGGCAGGCCACCACTTCTGGTGATAAATCAAACTTTCCTCTTAACAGTTTAATATCTACAATGACAGTTCGAATGGTCTTTTCTCGTTAATAGCCACTCAAGAATACATTTAACATATTATGTATCGTTAAAACGAAAATTGAATTAGTAATTTGACTATTAGAAATATCTAGATAATTAATTTTATTTTTTATTGGCAACTTTTTATATCGCAAGAACTGAACTGCGAAACTTAGCAGTTTCTTTCAAGAAGAAACAATCTCTGCTAGAATAACTACTGTCAACAAATGGTAATAATATGAATTTTCAAGGAAAGTATCATTACAAAAACTATAAATATTATTTCATAAGTGTATTGATTGAGACCCACTTTAATTTAGCAAAAGCTAAAGTAATGTACAACGAACTAGTCGACAGAAAAGACATTCTAACAAGTAACACAACACTGGAAATAGAGGAATATACCGGGTGTTGCATCGTCGGACGGGACATAGGAAATCCCTAATTATTTTAGAGAATAATTCTATTTAGGTTTATTGAAGAGCACTAAAACCCACATTTCAAAAGAATAACTTTAGCTATTTTTGATTAGCTCGTTTACGAGTTATCGCCGATTTCTTTTTAAATTTTCTCCTTTCTTATGGCTCTGTATTTACTTATGAGCACCAGTCAAGGTAAAAGATAACTGTCAAATGAAGTTGTCATTTCAGAAATTTACCTATTTAGTGCTTTATTATTATTGAAAACTCATTCCTACATCGGAAATCTTAAAGATGTATTTATAAATACAAATTAATATGAATTAAAGTAAAATAAAGTAATCAATTACAAGGTTAATTATAGTATTATTACAATATTCAATAGCTTATTAATTTAGGTACTATTAAATTGTTAGAACTTTAGGATTTAAGATGTTCAAATATTCCAAAATCATCCATCCATCGACTGCTAAACAATAACCCAGGCGATCATAAAATTCTCTTCTTACATTCGCTAGTTGGTAAACTGAAATTCTATTGCATTCGGCAGAAATAACATTTTTTAACTCGTCTAGATTTGGGTATTTTTATCCTTGTATATCCTGTTTTTTAAATGGCCCCATAGAAATAAATCATTTGGCGGAATATCAGGAGACCTGCTGGCCAATTTACTGTATGATTTAGGCCAATAACATTTCCGTTAAAACTATTGTCTAAATATTCCCGAACAGCCAGGGTACTATGTGCCGGGCAGCCATCCATTTGGTACCAAACTTCCTGATTTTTCCTAGCGGCATCATGTAAAGCAGGTAAAATATGATTTAAAAAAAAGTATACAAAATATATAAATAAAAAAAGAATAGACAACAATGGGCCCAACTACAAAAAGAGTATCTAAATATGCGAGGGAATCTACACCTTAATTGGAAATGGTTGAAAAAGCTGAAAATGACGATGATGATGAATTGTATTGATTCTTAATTGGCTTTTAATGCTAAGATTGTTACTAAACGTTTTGTCTTCTTTAAAAACGAGTATCTGTAAAATAAAATAAGTAAATATTATTTAATTAAACTAAAGTATATCATTTGATATATATTTCGTTGATAAGAACAAAAGACCCGCTGGGTTTCATTGACCCTACACGCACAAACCAACAAATTGGAATATTAAAATTTAACCCAATTATGTACTTTGAACGGAGGACGTGTGGCCATATAATGCCATTTAGGCTGCATCGTTTCTTAAGTGAGTTAAATTAGCCGCGTCCACACTTGACCGACTAAAGATAAAAACGGCCATTTATCGTTGTTGTCGTTTCTGCAGCTTTAAACGAACAACATAAGGCATGTGTGTGCTTATTCGCAATAAACTGTGCGTTAACTCGACTAACCACCATATGATTTTAGTTTAAAGGCCCGGGAACAGAATTATTGCAGCGTAAAGGTGCGTACACACCAGGGAGACATTGGTTGCAAACGATTGTAAATGCTTGTAAATCTTTTTGATTTTTTAACTAATATCTATAAGGTCCAATGATCCAAAATAATGAAGATTTGAGCAATTTTATAAGAAACAACAATAATAGTTATAGTATTTATCTATCAAGGGAATTATAAGGGTGCTTATTTTATTTTATTTCTTACCGAACATAGTATATTTTTGTCCTATTTTAAAACGACACAAATGTTGCATTGTATTAACGCTGCTGGTAGGAGCTTTGTTTATTGTGTATTAAATGACTTGCTTATGGCTGACGGTTGTTGTCAATAGAGTTCAATTTTTTGCCAAAAAAAAACGGCTTTCGTACTAATTTGGCACAGTGTCTTCTTTAAAATGGAGGAAATAAATTAAAAAAAGCTGTAGAAGCACGACAATCGTTATTTCCACCTAAAAATGAATCTATTCACCGAAGGAATATAAAAAATATCTTCAGTGGCTGGGACAGAAAAATATTCTAGTAGGTGATGTCGATGAAACTGTTCTTTTGTAAATTTATTATATGTGACATTAATGATGTAAATAAATTATTAAAGTAGTTAGATGAGTGTCCATTTTCATTTTATATTATTACTCAAAATCTCTATTGTACTTCATGGTTGTTACCTATAAAAGGTAGAGGTAATTATGACATTTCAATAATGTTCCAAGAGAGTTATGACTCTATTAATAGTTAAAGTAACCAATACGACATAAACTTAATAGCTTATATTAATTCAGCAGGAAATAAATAGATTTTTTACCAATTTTTTAAATCGAGTATACAGACTTTTCTTAATGCATAACGAAACTCTCCATATTTGTTGAATACACTTATTCGAGATCATTTTTTTGTCTATATTACACATTTTATCTTTTATCCAATAGCCACTACTTATACAGATATTACTCACACGTATATAAAATAAAAAATAACACACGCGTGAGTTTTTGAAGTTATAACAAAACAAAAACAAACTAGTGTGTTATGAATGCCCAATCATATACGCTACGCGAGACTTTTCTGGCAGTATTTGTGCTGTAACCGCCTCTGCCTGGTTAATAATAATTTCTTGCTGAAGATCTTCCTGAATCATTGTTCTTTAAAATTTGACTTGCTGGTTGATAATTCACTATTTTATCATTAAAAAATCGCGATTTATCTCTTAATGTCAGTGCTATTTATTATTTACAAAAAAACAAAACGCACATATTGCTATATTGCATAATAACATAAACGCACCCTGATAATTTATTAATTCGCAACAATGAAAGTATAACTGGTAGATCCTTTAAAAATTTAGTACATCTTTAAAAATAATCTAAAATGGCAATATTCCATGGGTATATTGATAAATAAGTTCTAAATTACAAGAAAATGCATTTTCTACGGAAACTTAAAGAGATAGGTAAAAAATGGTATAATATAATTTGATAGACAATTAAATTGTGCATCTGATTCTCGTAAAATATACAAGGTGTTCCGTTTAAATTAAACAAGTTATTGCGGTTTGAAGCTAATAATTATTTAAAATAAATTTTTAGGCACTCTGTATAAGGTAGTATTATTTTTACTATTGCAACAAAATAACTGATCAATAAATAAACTTAAGTAAATATTTAGTATTAAAAACGTTGATACCCTTGGAGAAATGAAGCCTTAAAATTTTTACTGCAATTTCACAAAACTGAAA